GTTCTCCAAGCTTCCAGTTCTAGAGTCAGAAAAGCAGGACAGTCCTTGCTTGGGCTTGTATACAAACCCTGCAAGGCTGCAGAAAGGACCTGTTGCCACCCACAGCTGTTGTAAAAACATCCACTTCATCTTTTGGTGGAGTGCTTCTTTCTGCTTATCAACCCAAACACTTCCAGAAGACATCTGTGGTCTCCTGTGTAAACTGTCCTTTTCCAGAGGATTGGAGATCACAGATATAGCAATTGCCAAGCTCTTTCCCCCCCGACTTCATCCCTAATGCAACATTACATTAAATATCATTCATAAATATCCTTAAAGATCTCCCCTGTCAATTTACAGTACTACCTAGAAAAACTGTGAAATGAGCCAGGACAACACAGAAAACTAGCAAACTTTTTTTTTAGTGGAGAGATGTTTTCTAATGCTAGATGCTTGAAAGTAGCAGTGGTGCCTTTAACCGCTTCTGAAGACAACTGTATTTTATTTCCTTTGTGATTGATATTTTTCTTGAAAAAAAATGAAAGGCAGGGAGGTAAAGTGACAACTCTGAAGCTCTCTGTCAAATTATGAGTAGAAATTATTTTCTGTAGCCCTCTATCCATCAGAGCACTACCAATAACGTTGGCATCAACCATTTACTGAGCTCCTACTATGTACTATCCTAGAGGTAGACAGGAATAACAAAAGATACAGCATGATTCCTGCCCTTGAGGGGGTCTTACATTCTTGTTGGGAAGACAAGACAAATACATCAAAAGATATTGGAGTTACACAAGAGGTCACAGAAAGATGAGGGAGCTTAAACTGGGTCTTGAAGATTAGAAGAGAGGAAGGAGGCTAGAGAAAAGGCATGAAGCAACAGTGAGCCTGAGCAAGGTGCATGGCTTGCCAGGAAACAATAAAAGCCCAGTTTAGTTGAGGTACATTAGCTCACCAGGACTGCAAAGTGGGAGAGAGTAGCCAGAGAGAAAACTTGAAGCCATACTGGAGAGAGAGCAAGCCTTGAATGTCAAGTCAAGGAGTTTGGAATTTGTAGACAAATAAGAACAGTCAGTTTCACACAAAGCAATATTTGGGAATATTAATGTGTTAGAGACGTGTAGGATTGATGGGAGCAGAGAGAACGTGGGGGCAGTTAGAAAGCTACCAGAAAAATCAAGGTATCAGGTGATGGAGATCCAGAGAGTAGCAGTATTAATTATTACTAGTTTTATAGGCTTAATTTCATAAAATATAACTAAATTGAGCTGTGCTACATATGCAGTGTCAAGATTTTTCAAAGGATGTTATCAAAATGAAAATTTGGTAAGTGTGTCATATTTCTGAAACCTTCCCAGTAATTGATCAGTTTTATGATAACCAATACGAAGAGGAAAGAAATTTATTGGGTTTTTTAAATATTTTATTCCAGAGGTTGTGACTTCTATTTCACTTTCCATGTCCAGTCAGTTTGCCATTGTGCTTTCAAGCACTGCCCCCAAAACTTCTTTGGCCTGATAATAGAGAGAAATCTAATTTCAAAGGAGTTCATTAATTTCAGGAAAATGAAAAGCTTGGCTTAAACTTAAATATTGGAAACTCAAAAAATTTGGCTGTGATCCTTTAAGCGTTCCAGACATCTATTGTTCAAAATGCTAACAGATGAGTTCCTAATTAGTCATCAGACAAGTAGAAGAAAATTTCTAACACTTAGAAGTGAAACTTCCCCTATTTTATTGAACGCTATATTGCTAGAGGAACAGCTTCTAAAGAAGTCAGGTTGAGTACAAAGATTTTAAATGAACAGTAGCAAAATGCCCCTAATATACCAGCAATAACTGCCTGGGAATTGAGACAAATTGTTTAAACCTAATTTTTTTCTATTATGATTCTGATGTTTGGGGTATGTCAAGGATACGGACCATCATAGACATATCCATGTAGAAATAGAGCACATTTTATTACCCCATACCCTGGCAAGCCTCATTGCAATGATTCCTCTGTCTGAGCTGTAAGAACTTTGTTTCTTTACAACTTACTTCTGGAAAACAAAATAAGGTACTGCCAACTCTATGTTTTCATTCTGACCTGTTCTTAAATGTTCATTCTGGTGTTTGCAGCAACCACTGTGAGTGAGCCATTAAAGCATTAATGTTGTTGCCACCTTCTTTGCAGACTGAAGAAAGTGTCTTTAGGAGGATGTGGCTAAATCAGTGCTTTTTTCCCCAGTCCATCATGAGTGTGTGTTGACACTCAGGATCACTAGCGCATCTTTGAATCCTAAGTGCTCTATAGAACACAGACTCTGGACTGTTCCCATCTGCAGCACAACCCACATGAGGGAAAATGTTTCTTTGGTCTCCCAGTTTCTAGAGAAATTATTGTTTCCTGTACTGATTTTCATAACCATAGAACAAGAGAAATACTACTCTTAAGATTCTCTTCTTATTTGGAGATCAATGTGTCTTTGAATCTTCTTTATCATGGTTTAAGCACTTCTCCAAAACTCAGATTTGCACCATATAAAATACAATTCTGTTCTTTGATCATTTGCCTTAAGGGATGTTAAATATTGCCTTAGGGTTTTTGGAAGATATATAGCAAGACAGAACTGGTCCCTAACATAGTGTATATTAGTCTAAAAACACTGGGATGAATTAATGAGCTAAATGCCTAGGAAGCATAAAATTCACATCCATGTTAAATATGAACATGCTCCATATTATACTGGGGGAATGACTTCAAGGTGGAAGTTTTTGTTCTTACAACCATTTATTTTCCTCCAAATTTATTGTGTTTTTCTGTAATGCTGTGAAAAGTCTTCATTTCCCCTTTCCCAAGTGTTGAGGTTCAAAAAGCCAGCTCTCAACCATAGACTAATCTTCATCTCTTCAGTGTCTTGTATGTTGATTTAGTTTCATATGTAAGTATTTATATTAGTTTTCTTAGGGATTTATACATCAGAATATATATATATATATATATATTCCTACACAGATATATACAAGTTTTTTATCCTCATCTTACCACTTGACAATACAACTTTAAGTATGTTTTACACAGCTGTTCCTTGGTCAAGATCATTTGCAAGAGCAAGTCGGTTTCTGAAGAAATCTTGTTTGGTGGGTGAAGGATCCATTGAGGGACTCTCATTAGTTTTTTCCCTGTATTCTGATCCACTGGACCTAAAATCTCAGCACACAGATAAAGTACAGGTTGATTTGGTTTTAATTGTTTTCAAATATTTTATCTATCCAAATTGTTTTGCATTTGTAAAACAGTTGCCTCTTACATCTGGAATAATTTTTACTTCCCCTGAATTTCATGACTTAGCACATGTGTCACTAAGATTCGCAGCAAACATAAAGAGAATATCTTTCTAATGCTTTATGGAGACAATTGTGACAATTGTGTATGTCAGTGTAAGACACTATGTAATAACACTGTAAAAGGGGAATAAAAGCTCAGAAAATTTGAGAAATCCTATTTTTGAACTACTCCACAAATTACCAAGGCCCTTAAATTTAAATGGATGGAATTCATTGTTCTCAACCAAGGTTATCAAGGCCTTTACTGAATTTGGGCATTACATTACAAACTCTTGCTTTTGCTTGTTTTCATTTTTAAATGAAAGATTTATTGAAGCCAACCACACATATATGCTACATTTGGTAGAATGCAGAAATTAGTACAGTAATCAGATTGAGGAGATTCTATAATCTCAACCACCACAAAGGAACCAAGCCCAATCAATAGTCAACAACTCAAATCAGTCCAATTGAGTCCCCAGTCGAGGGTGCATTCTTCCTTTATCTTGGTTAAGCCAGTTGGGTAATCCATTCCAGCTCTGCACCTTCTCCAGTTTGTTCATGTCAGAAGTCCCTGGAGGGAGGAGGCTTTCTGGAAATAACCTCTGATAAGCTAGGCTGGGGTCCTTTGGCTAGTTTAAACTCTAAACTAGAATGGGTAACACTAGCCCAGTGTCTAAGAACCAATCTCAAAAGACCTCATGCAGGATGTATGAAAGTGATGTTAGACATGAAATTCTTTGTCCAAAGTTCCTAGACAACTGAAAACGTTCTCCGTATGCTGAGGCAGAGTCAGGCATGCTTCCACTATCCACAAAAGAAGGATAAGTTCTTCCACTATCAGGGGTAAGCTATGAGTCCTCATTGTTTTTATTAGATAATTATGACTCTATCATTTAGTGAATTAATTGGGCAAAATTCAAAGATCCCTTTATATTAACCAAGGAAAGAAGTTGGATCCACACAAAGACTAAAATACTGATGTCTGGAAACCTGATGACTGACTAGATTTTTTTACTTTTCACTCTGGTATTTGGTATCACAGATGAAGCCATAGCTACCCACCATGCTTTCTACTTCTGGTCAAAAAGGAGCACTTTTCCACTACATCCCAGTGCATAAAGGAAAAACTATTCTCTCTCTCAACCCAGTACATCTGGATAGTCATCTAATAAGTTGATATCTGGGTGGGGTGAAAGTCCTCTTTTCAGAAGCCCCCTTGGCACTCTCCCTTGAAATAGCCTCCACAATGCCCCACCCTAAAACTCCAGGCCTTCTCTCAACTCTCAGAACTCCCACCTACCTCCAGTTCAAATGATACTTGATTAGTAAAATTGTTCCCAAAATGTTAGGAAGATATATTTTGAACCATTTCATTCTTTTCTCATATCTTCTGTTATCCAGAAGACTAGGAATGCCTATAGTTTTGGGGGCAGGAAGTCGTAAATAAGATTTGAATGTGGCTGTTGTTTCTTTTGAATTGTTCCCCCACATGACAGTTTCTCAACAGAAAGTTGTTAATCAAAACTTAAAATCTTTACCTCACATTTCCCCTCTTAGCTGCATCTGATCTCTCCAAAACCCAACATGTCATACTTTGATGGTTCCAACATGCAACTGTTGCGTGTTTACCTGGAAATGGGAAAGCTTTGATGTCACCACCAGCCCCAAGGACCACAGAAATCTTCACCAGTTGCGTTCCCATTTCTGAAACAAATGCCAAAATCGCCCTGTCTAGTTTTCAGAGTCCACAAACTCAGCTTAGTTTTTTCTTTTTTAACCGCTCTTCTCACAAATCACCTTCTCTGTGTCTTCACGTGTGTGAATTTCTCTGTTTCTTGATATTAAATATTAATTAACTAATGGCTAACTTGCTAATCCTTTTCAAAATCCAGAATTCTACTGTAGCCGTGACTAAAAGCTCATCTTCATCCTTTTAAAGATAATTTTAACAGACTGCTTTATAACGCTTACATGGTATAAGCCACCTCAACATTTGCACTCTTTCAAAGGTGTGGCTGTTAGGCTTTGAAGTAATGTATACCTAAATTACGGGGAAATAACCTGCAGAATCTAGGAGAAAGGGCCAGTGTATCTGCTTTTATTCCCTTTCTCTTTAAACAGGAATGGCTTTTGAGCTCCTGGGCCATTTTGGCTGACTGCAGGGCAGATCTGAGCAGACACAGAGGGACAGGCAGGCAAACACTTGCTGGGAAGTGTACAACTGCTGCCAGTACATTCTGACACATAGCCATCCAAGTGTTTGACGGAGAGAGAACAGACCTGTTGCTAACATTCCTTCCACTCAATTGACAGAGACAAAGAAAATAACAAGTTGGGTAGGTCATACAAGTACAGATTTGCTACAAATAAGCTTTGAAAGTTTGTTTGGAGTCGGGGAAGGGAAGAGGGGTGGAATCTAAGGCTGCAGCACCCTCTGACTTCAGAAGTCTTGGTTTTCTGATTGGAAAGACTGTCCACCTTTAAAGTTTTGGGAGACATACACATGGAGAAGTAAGGGAGCAGGGGAACACCCTTCCTGTTGGCCAAATCAGTCGGCCCTGGTAACAAACAAGGTGGCAAATGAGCATTCATTTAATATATATTTGCTGAGTGCTTACTATGTTCTAGATACTAAACCTTGTAGCTAGGTTACCCTTACATTTGGACTGTAAGCTCCTAATAGGCTGGAACTATTTCTTTTACTTCTTTTGTGCTAGACAGAACCTAGTACACTGAAGACCTTAACTACGTGACTGATTTCAAATGATCTATTGAGAAACCTTTGTAATCAGGTTTAAGTAATCTAAAATGTTATCCCTTCAACAATCTCCTTCAATTTTAGACTTATATAGGAAATGAAATGGGAAATGAGATTGAACCTCAAAGTGGGTAAGAATAGGAGAAGGACTTGAGATAGGCTTTAAGGAGATAAAAAAGAAGGTGAAGGTAAAATTGTCCATTGATTCTTTAGTAGTCCTGCTTTCTATTACATGGTCTTCTCCACAGCTGAGGCTGGGCATATGCAAAACAGCTGATAAGACACCAAAAGAAGATGACTCACTGACATTCAATTATATGGGGCCCTGCAGAAGTACTCTCTCTGTGTGATTAAGAAAATAGAGAGATTTTGAGGTAACTGGTAGAGGGAGGTTGATGACTGGAAAGGAGACACTCTGAGGCATGTTAAGTTATAAAGTGCTAAAGAGGAAGAGAACAGGTGAGGAAGTAGAACTAATCATTTGGAAGCCATATTCTTTAACATTCACTCCCCCCAAATTTGAGGATAAAAAGAGAGAGCATCTACATTCCCTATTCCTAAAAGGTCTTACATAATCATCTTCCCCCTGCCACACCCCAACCAAAAATACTTACTAACCTAAGTGCAAGATTTATATATAACGATGAAGTAGCATTTGCCACACACTTCAGAATAGTCTAGATTTAAGTCTTTGACAGCCTCCACATAGATCCTTCTAGAATGGGATAGTTTGCCTTCCATCCTGCTCAAAGGCAGGGGGATAAGGATTCACTCTAGCATCAGCTGATCACATTAGGTCTGTTCTTGGCTTCTAAGCATCCTCATTTAAAATTTTTAAAGTCACAACATTTGCGAACTTTAAGATATGTAGTCTTTATTCTGATCAATTCTGGGCAGCTTTCAGGGACATATGACCTGGTATCTACCCAGGGCAAATGTGCCTGAGATAGAAACAATCAGAGCGGCATCCTTTTCCCCAAACATCTTGGGCATTTTTCAGGATATTTTTATGATGTCAACTTGACTCTCCCTTTTGAATCCTTGTGGGTATGAGCATTCGGCCCTCCCAGTCTCAGAGGGAAGAGAACCCTTTCCCAGGTTTTCTGTTGCATCTGGCTCCATGCCTAGCTTCATCCCGAAGCAGCATTCTGGGTGTGTGGGGCCACCAGCCAAACAAGCCCCTATGGATACAAAAAGTGTGTCAGTGTAGACAGGAACGAGCCTTCAAAGGGCTGTGGGGGAGGCAGGCAGCGAGCCCCAGATGTGACACATGCAGCTTTTCTGGCACTGGTCCATACCGGACGTTTGAGGCCAGGTTCTGGATGGTTCTAGTACCCACAATTAACCACTTCTTAAAGTCACAGGATTTGCTGCCAGCCTGACCTCCCGACACATGGGAGAATGGGCTGAATGTCTCTTTCTGATTCCTCCCTGTCCTGGCCACATGCCTGACTTCACAGTGCAATTTCCTGCATAATGACTGGGACTATGTCATTCATGATTCCTATACAAGTGTCTCACACAGTACATCCATATAAGAAGGAATGCTGAATTAATGAGAAGAATGGTGTGTTCTCATCTAAGTCAAGAGCTATTAACTTTTCTGTGCTACACTAGGTCCTCCCTGCCCGTCCTCTCTACCTTAGCATAATGCAGCAAACTTTCCATGGTTCTTGGATGAAAATACTCAGGAGAAGCTATTCGAGCTGTTTCTTTATCCCATGCCATGTCCCCAAAGTGCCCACCATGGCACCCTGGACACGAGGGGATAAGTAAGCATCACCCGATGGTGCTCACAGTCCTACACCAGATGTACAAAGCCAGGAAAGCCTGCCAGATGGAGCAGCCATCTGTGTGGTGCCGCCTTTACTTCGATTAATGTTAACATTTCAGATTTTATACACAAAGGCAGTGTCAGAACTGGTGGTGGCAATACGATTGATGCAGGAGAGACTGATCTATGAGAAAAGATAAGGATCAAGGGGATCCATTTGGCCCTCTAAGAAGGATACCAAAAAGCTGTAAGAGGACTGAAAGCAATTAACCAGCACGAATTTGGAGAGTCCACAGCAAGTCCTCAGCATTATACCAAGGGCTGTGGGGAGCTACAGAAAGATAAAACCTGGTCTTCTACATGGTGAGTCTTTAAATCAAGGCCACATTAATTTCTTGTTTCAGGTGTTAAAAAGATGTGATTAGTCAGATCCATCTACAACAAAGTCAAACTACAGATAAAGCAAATCTCAGCACTAGAAAGCACTCAGGTGATTATCTTGAGCAATCTCCCATCCCGTGCAAGAATCCCTTTCATAGCATCCCTGACCAGGTCATCTACCTTCTACTTAAGAGAATGCACACCCTCATGAGGCAGCCAGCTCCCAATTCGAGGCAGATGCATTTTAGAAAGTTCTTCCTCTTACCCATTGCTCCTAGTTCTGCCCTCTGGATACAGAGAGGACAAGTTCACTCCCTCTGCCTCAGGTAACTGGCAGATCATTTTCTTACATCTCTCTGAAAAACGGGAATTTGCAAAAGAACCAGTGTGGATCCATCGCTCACTGCTCTCCAACAGACAGTACCCAGTCATAAACAGCAGTGGACAAAAAGTGGCTGCTTGTTTTGGGAATACTATGGTTTAAAAAAAAAAAGATAGGCTCAAAGAGTGCGCTTAGGAGCTTGGAGTCCTTAGAAGGATTTAGGAACCTAAATCTCAAGGTCAGGCCAGAGAGCTGCCTGCTTCCAGGTCTCTCCACCCCTGCCAACTTGACAGAGGTAGGCACTGGGCCAGGAAAGATCTAAGTGTATGATCCTAGAGACAGGGATACAATTCTTAACTCCTCACCCCCTAGAATAAAGGGGATGTAGCAATAGTCATGCAGGTATGGGGCTACCTTAGCAAAATTGAACGGGCACTTAGAGGAGAAGGGCTGTGTCTAATTACAGTACTGTTGCTCTTCCCTCCCCTTCCCCGTTCTTCCAGTAACAACAGGCAAGGAGCAACAATCAGAGACCCATTAATCTCAGTACCACCCTCCTCATGGGAGAAGAATTAGTCAAACCATCAAAAAAAAGTCCTCACTTCAGGCCTTTCCCCAATACTTCCATCAAGACCATCATCTAAGTCAGCCCGTAACCTCCACCGTTAAGGAGAAAGTGATTTCCCTGTGCTTCCTCACTTACCAGCAACCAAAGTCAGCAATAGCATCTTTGTTTAACTTTTCCATCCACTAAAATATGACAACTTACTGTTTAAAACTAACTGCAGGAACCTCCTCTACCAAGAAAAACTAATTAGCAGGGAAAATCTAAGGGAGAGAGAAGCAGGCCTGAGGACCACTGGAGATAGAAACAGCAGTCTCTCAGGCAGGCAATGGCTGGACTGGAGAATCCCTCTATGGTCAAATGCCAATGCCCAGCTCTCTCTTCCTTATGTTTCACGCTGGGGTTTGGCCACTGTCTCCCAGTCTGTAAGACAGTGCTGGCAAGTGCTTGCCAAAATGCATGGTGGGTGATTTCATGTAACAACAAGGACTCAGAATCTTAGAAGGACCATAGAAGGGAAAGACCTCATTTTTATCTCCTATGGAGTATGGAAACTCCATTAAAGTGATTTTTAACCAGGGCCCAAGCCAAATCCCTTCAATTATTTCTGCCAGGGACAACACTAGCAGAAGTCCCAATAAACATATACTGGCATCTGGGATAACTATAGGCAGAAGTGCTGAGATGCCCTTAGAAAACCTTCCACACGTGGGGAGATTCTGATGGTGCGCCCATGACACCCAACTCCAATAGTGCATCCCACTCCTCCCGGTCTAAAAGGGATTTGATTGTCATCAGCTCAGTTCCCAGGGGACCTCCTCTGCTCACTCCTCTCAGGACACATGACTCTGGGGAAAAGGAAGTGGGGCTAAAAGATAGAAGAGGCAGAGGACAGAGCTGAGTTTGCTTTTACTCTAGGAGATTACAATGAGAAACATCTTCACCTGGCAGGAATCGTGGTTACTGGGTACAGGCACTGAGCTTGAAGCAGTTGTGTGAAACCAGGCTACTTGATACTTATTACTGTTAAAACCTCAGGACTTAGCTCAAAGGGAAATGAGTTACAATGCTGTCTTGTCTAAGGGCTACTCACTTCTTTTTAAAGAGCTTGCGGAAGGAGCTGCGAAAGCCCCCTTTCTGGTCTTGCCTGGGGTTTTGATCGCTGAAAGACGTTTGTTCGCTTTCTCTTTCGTCCTTTGGACAGAACCTGGTGGCGTCTTCTAAATGCATCTCCTGAAAACACAAAAGAGGGTTGTTTTTTTACTCTTTCCCAAAGTTAATATATATCCTGACTGTGGGACAACTTTCTTGTCACTTTCCTCTCCCACCCCAAAAGACTAATGGTGGGCACCCTATTCCAACTAAAGCAAACCTAGGCTAATTATGGAAACAGCAGTTGGAAAGAGGATAATGTTCTGCTGAGAGTAGAAGGATTTTCTACGTATCAAGAAAAATAGTCTAGAGTAGAATTATGATATAACAATAATTAAAGATTGGGACATAAAGCAAGTTGGCAACTGTTTAAAGAGTATAGAGATTAACATCTTATTCTGGCACCAATACTGTCTTGCTGGAAAACCAGTAGTAGTCCCTTCACATCTTTGGGTATGTTTCTATTTCTACAAAACAAGAAGTTTCCTTGATTGTAATGCTAGTTTAAACTCATGTCCCTAACTCTCCATGTTATACATAAAAGAGGGAAGGAGTTGTTGAGAGGTCAGATCTTTTTAGAAGTAAATGTCAACTAATATTTCAAACCTGCATATGTGCCTTTAATCCAGTTTTTTACAATTCTTAATCCTTGATATTTGGAGTGTAAAATAAAAAGTTAAAAAATAAGCCTCTATCTTTTGTGAACTCTCTAATTTCTTTTTAAATGTGAGATGTGCTAAATAAAATAGATATGCATATATATTTATACTTCCTTTGAACAAAATATTTACTTTGAGGTGACTGAAATTTAAAAGCAATCAAAAGTAGCTGCTTAATTTTGAACCCAAAAAGAGAACCCAGGGAGTCAAAGCAAAAACTACCCTGAAAGTTTCATGCATTGGACAGGTGACTGCTTGCTGATAGAGAAGCAAAGAGTGGGGATGAATTTTTGCAGGAAACACATGGGTTTGACTTTGAGACCTTAACTTGGAGTTGTAGTAGCAAATCTACAGATTCTCTGAGATTCTGCGAAGATTCATAACTAAACCATGGAGATCAACATCTTGATGGCTTAGTGTGGTGTTTCTCAAAGTGTGGTCCTGGGGCTACAGGATCAATTGAGGCCTCTATTTAAAATGTAGATCCCTGAGCCAACCCAGACTTTCTGAATCAGAATCTCTGGAATTAGGCCTAGGTAATCCTTATGTACACTTAGATTTTGAAAACCTAGGGTTTCCAAAAAACCTTAGTGGTTTAAGGTATGCTCCTGCCCACCTGCACTTACTGTTTGTATCAATCACCTAGGAATCTTGTTGAAATGCAGGTTTTTCACAACTAGAAGGACCTGCAACTAAGATATACAACTATGTACCAGGGGGGATTTGGGGAGATAAAGCAGAAAAAAAAGTGCAGATTTTGATTCAGGAGGTCTGGGGTAGAGCCCCAATTCTACATTTATAACAGATTCCCAGGTAATGCATTCACTACTAGCCCAAGGACCACATTTAGAGAAGTGGGCTTTAAGGGACTCTTTAGGAACTGAATCTATTAATAGTTTAAGGAAAATCTTTCTGTGGAATCATGATCTTGATAATATCGTGCATTTGTGTAGCACTGGAATGCTTTACAAAGCATATTCACAAACTATTTTATTTGGCCTGATCCTCACAACAACCCTTAGGAGTAAGGTAAGGTATATGTTGTCTTATTTTTACAGATGAGAAAACTGGAGGCACAGAGAAACCAAGTGAATTTTCCAAAAGCACACAGCTATTTGGCAGCAGAGCCAGGACTAGAACCCAGATCTCAACACCCAGTTAGGTGCTCTCTGCACTACAGCATACTGTCTGCTATCCTGACTCTTAGAGACAGAACTAAAGACTAGAGTTTGGCTGTCTCTGAGGGGTGGGGGTGGAAGATACACAGTATATTTGAGGAGATGGAACCAAAGGAGCATTATACGTCTCAGCAGGAAAGAGCTGACACTTTTCATGATAGGGCTTTTCAAAGGTTAATCTTTTGCAACTAAAACCCCTATCTCGCTCCCACCTCAAACACACTCACACACAAACACACATATAGGTACAGACATGCCCACACGTACACACAAACACACCCACACTAACACACAGCCTCTTCCCACCTGGACTCTGCATACCAACTCTCTCTAGGACTCCCAACAATCCATGCCTTCTGAGGTTTTAGGAAGAAAAATTTTGTCCAAAACCAGAAATCAGCAATGTGAACTTTGAAAAATTCACATGCTTGAAAAATTTACTAAGTGAAAGAGAAAGGGCCTTTTAACTGCCCTCCGTTTGACACCTCCTTAGTGTCACCTTCTGAACTGAACTCACGTCTGACATGGTTAGGGGATGAAACTTACTGTCCAATATGTCTGATTAACAGTCCTTAATATATTGTTTATTGTTATTTGGTGTGATAAACAGCCACAAATATTGTACTCATTGTTTGCTTTACAGATATATTACTTATTATTTCTGATTAATGGTCTTTGCCTGGCAATTGTTAAACTCACAATTTTTCACATATCAACTACGAAAAAAAGACATTTTTATGAATATGTGAAATAAAAGCATTCTTTGCAGCTTAGACTATACTAGTTAGAAGGTTTTGTATGTAACTCTCTGCCCATCCCAACTGACTTGGCACTGACTCCCTACTTCCCTTGTTAATGAACTTTCAAACTCTGACACACACCTAAGATCAATTTGTATAAGAAATTTTGCCTAATAAAGTTTTATAAAGTTCAGAGTTGAAAATGAGAGCCAGAAGGAAATCTGAGAACCTTGGGGAACCTCAGGAACTTCAACTGAGCACACAAAGGCATTTTTGCCCTTTGCAGGAACCAGACAGAGACTCTGATTCCTGGAGTCCAGGTGGGCTAGAAGCTTCAAGGCTTTCCATGACCCAGCCCCTTCCTGTTCCTCTGGCCTAATGCCTACCACTCCCACCTGGCACAATATTCAAGCGGAAAAGCATCACCCTGCTGTCTTTTTAAAAAGCCCATTAGCCTTTTTTCACATTTCCCTACCCCACTCTTCACCTAGCCAACTTCTAGGCAGCTTTTAAAATCTAATTCAGACATTGGACATATCTAGGAGGACCTCTCTGACCACCATCACCCCAGGAGGGTTTAAATTCCCCTCCCCCAGTTGATTATCATTCTGTGTTTCTATGTCTCCTTCCTACACTAAGCCAGGGGTCCTGGAAGGCAGAGACTGGGTGCCATTTATCTCTGAACCTTCAGCACTCAGCCCACAGCCTGGTGCAAGGCAGGTGCTCAGTGTTTGGTGAAAAATGAATGAATTAAAGGAGCCAGTGATCCTCAATCTGTTCGCACTCACTTGAAAATGAGAATAGATGGAATGTAGGGCCCTAATTCCTGGGAAAACCCCTTCTCACTTAGGCAAAGGATCCCCTGAGCTTGATGCACGTGATGCTCCGTGGAGGTAAAGTCAGTCCTAGACGATGGCGTTTTCAAGATGTACTAATACAGAGCTGCCCTGTAAACCCTCACCACCACTTCTGAAACGATGTCAAACAGGAAGAATGGTGGCACCGGTCAGAGCTATCCTGTGACCCTGCCTAATCAGAAATTGCCTCTGTTCCAATCACATGCAGAGAAATCACGAATTTGCTCAGGATTTATTAGCCCTTTCATGGATATGTATTTAAATACCTCTTAAAATTTCCTGAAGCTTGCAGACACCCAAGTACCAAACATTGACATGGAGGCCAAAGAAGTTGTTTGAGTTAATGTTTCCTTGGCTATTTGGGGATGTCTCCGTCCCACTGGAGTCTGCAAATTAACGTGACACCTTTTCCCAATCACAGGGAAAGCAAGCGGATAGGAACCTAGCTCTGCGGTGAACGTCTCAGGGGTCCCTATTTCCGGGAGAAGGGCAACCTGCCTCCTCCCTATCTACAGACAAGGCTGCGGGGGGCCGGGAGCAGAGGGTGGGGGCGCGCCGAGCGTGCCACGTTCTCAACGTTTAAACAAGGAGATGCGCTAACAGGCCGAGGGAGAAACACGCCTAGGCCTCGCGTGTCGTGCTCTGAATTTGAAGTTCCACTCGGAGGCGGCCCGGCTTCGGCAGGGAAGCGGAGAGCACCCCTCGCTCTAACCGTGTGAGTGCTGGGGGCAGGGTGTCAGCAGACCTAGGAGGAGTCTGTTCTTTCTAGAATCGCTTTGCCGTCGCCCATGCCTACGGATGGCGTGCCCTTGAGTCCTGCGACTGCAGAACGGGTACCAACACGCGCCCTCGAGGGCGACTGAGGGGCAAACCTGTGACCCGGGCTTTCCCTCAGCTGCGCCTGTCCTCCGCTCCCCTCAACGCTAGGTGAGCCTAGGCTGCTCCCTGGAGATCTAGGCCCGGGGCTGCCGGCGCTGCGGGACCGCGTTTCGTTTTACTTTACCCTCCTTACTTCCAAATAGGTCTGCTTTTCGCTTTGGGACCTCTGTTGGGGGAAGAAGGTGCGGGGCGCGCCGCGGGCGGCGGCGGCGGCGGCCTGGCCGTGCGGCTGCGCGGCGCGCTCGGCCTTGAGTGGCGCGCGGCCGCCGCTGCTGCTGCGCGTGCTGTAGAGGCGCGGGGCCACGCCCTCGGGCGGCGGCGCGCGCGGGAACTCCTTGAGGGAGCGGCTCAGCGGCTTGGCCTTGCCGTGCGCCTGCGCCTGCGCCTGCGCCGCCGCCTCCAGCTTGTAGGCGCCGCTGCTGCTCGCCGGCGACGTGGCGCTCTTGGGCAGCGGCTGCAGCGGGTGCTCGGGCCGCTCGGCTTCCATGGCGAAGCTGACGGGCCGGAGGAAGCAGATGTCCAGGCTGGACTCGGAAGAGGCGGGCGAGCAGTTCTCGAAGAGCGCCGGGGCTTGGAAGGGCTCCTCGTCGTAGGGCGCGGGCAGCGCGAAGATCTCGCCGCCGTACTCGAACTCCTCGTAGGCCGCTGGCACGTAGCCGCGCGCGTCGGGCAGGAGCTCGGCCGGGGCGCGCAGGGAGCGCTCCACGTGGCCCGGCGGCTCGGCCGGCGAGGGCTCGAAGTCCATCTCGGGGATGGCCTGCAGGGGCCCGGCGAGCGCCTTCACGTCCTGCTCGGCGGCACAGAACTGCGCTGGCGCCAGGAGGCTCTCCGGCCTCTCGTGCTTTCTGCCCTCCATCTCCCAGTCGCTGGGCTTCCCAGGCTGCATGCTCTCCATCAGGCTTTGCTGTTGTTGGCTTTTCTTCATTGGGGGCATCAGATGTCTTTAAAGGGGAAACAGAATACAAAAGAGGTGTGCTTACGGTTAGTGCAGGCCTCTCACCCAGCAGCGCAAGGCTGGGGCAGCAAACATCCCGCAGATACTGCTTGGGTGCAAAACTAGCAGCTCCTCTCCTCCTCTTGGCCCTCTCAGGCGCCTACGTGTGTTACCTACCAAGCCCCGCAAACTTCCATTAAGGAGTTCCCACGCACCCCAGTCCCCCAAGTGGGAGAGTGAGAATACCCATCTGTAAAGCAGATGTCCGAAGTATCCGTCTGAGCAAGGAGGCACTGCGTAGATATGACTGGTGAGCCAAGGACAGTCATCACTCCCCACGTGGAGGCTCTGATCCTCCCCACCACGTGTCAAGACCCCAAGGCACCTCTCTTCTCCCTTCTCTCCCTTTCTTGCCCTAGCAGAGTCATGCAAAATAATGGAAACAACTTTTGTTCGACTCATGGATCTTCATGCTTAAAAACAATTCCTAGATGAAGTCAGTGTGGCATGATCTTCCTAACTGTTGAATCTGGATGATGGTATATGGGCTTCACTGTACTCTTTTGTGTACGTGTGAAATTTTCATAATAAAGAACTAAAAAATTACTTGTGGCTATAAAGCATGCATGTGTAAGTCATCTCGAACTTCCACTGACAAAAACGTTACCAATGTGAAAAGGCTCTCACTCTGGATATGCCCAGTTTCATGGAGGGTTTCCTTGTTTAATCATGGATAACGAATAGTTAACATAGCATACTAGGATAGCATACCCATCAGATTGGTTGAGATTTTCCAGTTCTGCTGGAATTTAGTTGCCAGACAGAAGTGAGTGGACTGCTATACACCCACCCAAACTGGTTATTCTGCTAGTTTATGTATTCATATTTCATTCTACCACAAAAATGCATAAAGAATACAGATATAAACACACGCTGAATATCTTTCTCTGGTGAAATTAAGATGAAAATTAGGTTGCACAGAGGTGAAAAGAAATAATAAAATGAAATATTGACCTGACTTGACTTCTCTTTTAACTTGGGAGATTGTTGTTGAGTTTTTTCTAGCTGTTTTCCCAACAGAGTGCATAATAGCCCGTTCAGTGTGGGTATAATCTGTAGGGATTTCATTTTTTGGCTCTGCTTGTTACACTTGAAGATAAAGTTTTATCATTGTCTTAAGAGTTGAAGTGACCCACAAAGTACATATCCACCTCCTGCCTCTCTCCCACTCTCTACCCAGGATGGGCATTTTTTCTGTGTAGAGTTCTCTCCCTACAGGACTTCTAGGATTTTCTTTATAGGAGGAAAATCATCCTGGGCTCTGTTTATAGAAAGGTTAATGTCTCATAGGTTTCAAAATGATTATGTATCATTCTGCTTTCCTGCTTCTGTATTTGCATTTTCATCTCTCACTGATAAATGTTCTCATAATTTTAAGAGATGAGAGCAGAAAGAGGAAACAGGATTTATTTTGATCAGTTGCTCCTTCCAGTGATTGTAATTGACATTCTCAAAACTGTAGTAATTAAAACTTGAAATAACCTCACTTGCCTACCTCTCACTTTATTGTAATTTTAGAAAAGTAGCTTCTTGCACGAAATCTAAATTTTCCTTAATAAAACCCAAAGCAGAAATTATAGTCTAAGGAATTAGTTTTGTGAGAACTGCCTGTATTTGGTAAAGTGGGGATTTGGAATTTTGAGTTTGGGTTTCCTTTAATCCTACCAAAAGTCCTGGTTTCAAAAGCAACTGAATTGACTTTATCCTTATCCTTCAGAGGTAAAGGAGTTCCAGGTATTTAAACAGACTAATCCTTATCCTAAACGTTGTCAAGAAGTTTGCTGAATGAGAATCCAGTTTAGTCTGCTAGAGGGTTATGTGCAGAGACTTTAAAAGACTGTCAAATCCATCCACTGCCCAGAACAGCTTTTGGAAAAGCTGTCAAAAGTGAAGAACAGAGCTTATGAAGTCCTTTTCTGAGGAAGCTTCAAGGAGGATTGGGAAGGTCCTCTCTGCACCACCTCGGACCTGTTTCTTATCCTCAGAGCCCAGACTTCTGACACCTGACTGGGATTCCTTTTCCCTCCACTATGTCTTTCAGAGAACTTAAGGGGGTTCCCACCATTTTACAACTTAAGGCTGTAAAATGCCTTCCTCTCTGTGGTACTCTCTCCTCTTCTATCATTGTCCAAACCCAAAGAGACTCATGCTGTAGGTAGAGGGTGCTCCTGTGTGGTGAAAGTGTTGGAAGTAACCTCCAGCCTCTAGGCCTGTCCCTTAACATTAGTGCCTTCCTCTGGGACCCAAGCATTGGATCAGCTCCTTGCCTTCCTGATGGGGCAAGAGGGAGGGAGGAGTGCTGTAGGTCATACTCCTAATCCAGGCTGGACTGCTACCCTACCTGGGGTAGACTGCCTGGGACACAAGGGCATTGCTATTACCCTTTCCACAGCAACAGGTGCTTACGTGACAGCAGGACCAGAACTGGGAGTAGAAGGGTAGGGTTGCAGCATCTCTTCTGAGTGGATCCCACTGTCACGGACGGCCTCAGGACCTGCAGTGGGGGAAGCATCTTGCCCGGCATTTGCACACTGAGAAGCCAGCCCTTTGTACAGCTTCGCCATGGATGACCTAACAGAATGGAAGTAACAATTCTCAGGATGTACAGTGGGAAATCGGTTCTCTGAACACACAGATTATGCCAAGAAAGAGAGACAAATTTTCTCAGATGAAGCTCAGCTGTGAAGTTCTCTCTGTCTCTCCAGGGCCCTCTACAAACCGGGTTGCTTACATAATAGGGTACAAGCTGGATGCTGGGCAGGCGTAAGGATGCCAATTAATTGGCTGAATTGAGTTGGGGAAAGGGGTGGTACGGGGAGATGTCCTCCATTAGAGGAGCCGTGGCTTGGGAGATAGCATCTTTTTCTGGTTTGAAGTACCCAGAGAAATGATTCTGTTTTCCTCATTGGACTGAGATGAGGTTGAAGGAAATCCAAGGCATTAGGAAGCTCTGCTATGGGTTGTTTCTCTTACTTCTGAAGCCCAGATTCTTCCTAATCAGCTCTTTCTGCGCCTTCTTAGGGTGAAATCTGTTCAACCACCACCTCCCCTCTTATTTGTTTTATTTTTATCCATAGCACTTATCACCATCTAACTTATTTATTACTGGCTGTCCAGGTCTAGAGAGTAAGCTTCATGTGGCAGAGATTTTTGTCTGTTTTGTTCATTGCAGCATATTTAGTGCATAGAACGGTGCCTGATACACAATGGGTGCTCCATAATATTTGCTGAATTGTTGAAGAAAACCACATTCTGGCCTTTATGCTGCAATTTTAAACCTGGTAAGTTTAGGGAAACTGAACTATTGTTGAGGTAGTTAGCAAGCTGAGTTAAGCTGGGGTCTGCATAGGCATGAGAGTGAAAGTGCTTATTTTCCTAAAATACTTTCCACCAGGTAATAGGGCCCTCCATACTATAGCCAGCCTGGCCACCTCTCTTCCCTCCCCTTCTCTCTTCTCTTCTGCCTCCCTTTACTGCACTTCAGCCACTTAACATACAATGTGGTTACTTGTGACAGCCACCCACGCTGGCTATCTGCATCCCTGTTCTCAGAAACCTTTGATCAGCCCTCTAGACTGCACCATCAGAACCTTACTTCTTGAGCTTTTTCCGTTTCTGAATGAGCAGGTCCTCATTGCATTGAAACAGCAGGGTGTAGTGTGAGATAAATACTCGAAGGCGCTGAACACACACCAGAAGTAGGTAATAGTCAGGGTGTTCCTGCTCTGTGAACTTCAGAACATTCTGGATGGAGGAAAAAAGGAAGCAGAATTGCATAATTAGAATGAAAAGTTGTTTGTCTCTTCTGCACCTTGCCTTGATCTGTTGTGAGAGTTTGGTAGCCATTTAATCAAAACAACAATACATACAGCCAATCTAATTATAAGCTAAAAGGTCAAATTGCCGTTCTCTTTGTCCATCACAGCAAGGGAAAATATTAGTTACTATTGCTCCTGTTTGGGTTGGATGTGAACGTAAGACAATTCCATCTGAAAAGTTAGAAGGATCTACTGATTAGATCTCCAAGGTAATGGAGTCATTCTAACAATTACTGTCTATAAGCAATGCCTTTTAACTCAAAGGAGTCAGACCAATGGTGAGAATGTCAAGATTCAAGGCAGGCTGGAAGGGGAGAATGTTTATGATCAAGTCTGGCCTGGTGGCCATCCTGTTATATTGCCTACTGTGCTGTAATGCAACAGGCATGCTAGTTGGATTTGGGAAAGCGAACATTTAGTGAGTGCTTCCTATTGCCAAGTACTAAGCCCTTTATATTTTCTCATTTAGTGTTTACCACAACCTGGTTAGATAGGTACAATTATTACCTCCATTTAACAAAAAAGGAAACTGAGGCACAGCAAAGTTAAGTAATCTTCATTAGGTCACACATCTAATGAGTAGTGGAGCCAGGATTTGAACTCAAGCTAGACAGTAGAACCAGGGGTCTTATTTACCATATCGCTTGCAAGCCTGGGTTTCAGTCCTAGTTTTTTTTACCTACTAGGTGTGTTAACTTGGGCAAGTTACTTAACTTCTTTAGCTCTCCATTTCCTTATCTAAAAAATAGTAGTAATGATACCTATTTTGTGAGACTGTTGAAAGGATTAAATTAGATAATTATTGTGAGAAAATGATTTTAAGATCTAAAGCCACATACAACTGAAAGTCTTTTTATTATTGATACTGGGCACTTCTACCTAAGATAAATTCCAAGCATTTCTAAGATGCTTTCAATGGATTACTTAGGAAGGTCAGTCAGCAATGAAACCAGAACAGGTGGGTGGTGGGAAGAACAGGGGCTGATGGGGGTGGGAGTGGGTGGGTGATGAGCCTCTCTCTCGACTCTACTTCCTCCAAGGTGCTACAAGCCCTGTGGGAAACTGGTGTGAAGAAGCCAGCTGGTCAGCTTCTTCATGCTTCTTCTCTGACATAGACATAAGCAATGTATGGTAGACCTTTGGGCCCAAGCCAAAAGAGAGCAGTCAGGATAGCGGTTGAGGGGGCAGGTTACCTAGGTATTTCTTAGATGCTGGTAGGGGATGGGGGGAGGGGACAGAGGGTTGCATTTAGATGGCTGTAGAACCATGGTAGAAGGGACTGAATAGGTACTCAGAGTCTAGCAGGAGCTGCTATAGAAAGATCCTGGATCAGCAGAGATGTGGACTGCTGGTAAATGCAGACCATACTTCAAAGGCAAGCATCATGAACCAAAAGTTTTTAGAGATTGAGATTTTAGCTCATACCACAAGGTGGGGATGGAGTAATCATAACAATCTAAATTATTTAAATGCTTCTTTGAAATATTAATGATTCTTTGACCCTTTACAGTATTTCTCAGTTGGAAGCCAAAAACAATTGTTTAGTGTGAAAATCGGTTTGGTGGCTTGCACAGCCATGCCTACCTGCAGATGTATCAGATATTCAGGGATGCGCTGGACTATGTGAAAAAACAGTGTGTAGATGTCAGATTTAATATCTTCATCACCCTGAATGAAAGAAAGGTAGAGTCACTCCTCAGTGTTCCTCCAGCTCTGGCTGCAGAACCCCAGAGTCAGCCCCACAAGAGTAGGAAAGGTTAACTCCCAGAGCATTTTCTTCCTCTAGAGTGTCGTGAAGCATTGATCTGTCATCAGAGAGGCCACTTGCTCAGGGACATACTCAAGGACACAGCACTTCTCTAGCAGGAAGAATATCATATACTTCTTTTGAATCCACCCAACTTTCCAAACTAACCCTTCCTTCCCCCTCCCCCCCATCTTAGCACATGCTAGACAGAAGTGGGTACCCAATAGATTGTATTTGAGTTGAATGATTTCATCGAGGTTCTTCAGCAAGTAATCATTACAATGGTTTCCTAATAAGCACTAGGGTGGATTGGAGCCCCCTGAGAGTAGGCAAAGGAGTATGATTAGAAACTGATCAGCTGGCCTGGCAGCAGGAAACATGTTGGATTTTCTCCATGTCCCTTCTATTCTCTTCCTTTCCCTTTCTCAAATAGTTGCTGACTGCTGACATACAGTAGGCGTTATACGGGGTTGGCAGTAGTGGGAGGTTGATGTAGAAGGCTAATAAGACAGAGTCCCTCACCACTTGTGAAACTTGATGAACTCTTGGCTTTAGGGCTGCTGATACAGTTTTTTCCTATTGACCTAAAATAGCTAGAATTGTTATATATTTGTATGTGTTTATTGAGCATCTAATATATCACTTCAGTAGCAATACTTAAAGCAACATGACTAGAGCCACTTTATGATCTTATAAACTGACAGACACAGGATGACTTGAGTTTAATATTCAGTTTATATGAGTTGAATATTCAGATTCATATTGTCTGAGCCTAAAATGAAACAAAACCCTTCATACAGCATGCAAGCTGCAGCCTGAAGATCTTTGCTTAGAACCCCTGTTTACTTCATCTGTACTTTCAGTGGAATGGAACACAGGGTCAGTAAGGGAGGGCAAGGACGAAATCAATGGCACTGATCCTTGAGTGAGTTCCTTTAACCCCAGGTAGGAGCATCAGTGGTTGTTCAAGCCATTCTCCAGCCTGGAAGACAAGCTCAGAGTGCATGTGCTGCATATCCTGCGTGAATGAGCAACATCATATAGATAGATGTGTAAACAAAGGGCAGTGCACACATAGAGTTAACTTACCTCCTTCAGAACAACAACATGAACCAAGGAGATGCATTCAGGCAGGTCCCTCAGGTAGGCAACATAATAATCCAAAAAATTATTCTTGAAAACAAACACAAGAAATACATGGTAAGAACCTGGAAATAGGCATGATAACAACTAATATTTTTATAGAGTCATGTATATAAAAAAGGAGTATGGGGCCGACCATGTGACATAGTGCTTAAGTCTGACGGCTCCACTTCCACAGCCCTGCTTCACAGTTTCAGATCCCTTCTGTGGACCTACACCACTCATCAAGCCATGATGTGGCAGCAACCAGCATACAAAATAGAGGAAGACTGGCACAGATGTTAGCTCAGGACTAATCTTCCTCATGCAAAAAAAGAGGAAGATTGGCTCAGAGTGAATCTTCCTCACCAAAAAAAAAAAAAAAAAAAGTAGTACTTTGCAGAGATTACTTTAATCACTCATTTAATGTGTTTATTAATATCTTTTTGGTTTTTTAATTCAGCTTTTAAAAAATCTTTTTGGTTTTAAGGTAGATATCCCTAAGGACTTGGGAACCAAAACTTAGTAGCCCAGCTTTAACAAGAGAAAGGGAAATGATAAACCAAGGCAGAGAGAAGGGATCATGTAAGTTGAAAAAGTATTTTTAAATTGTTAAATAATAAAAATGCATATTTGTTTTTAAATTACTTTTAATTTCAATCTACATCTAAATGAGGAACTTGGTCCAACCCACCTCATAGGGTCTAGACCCGTGGTTCTCAACTTTTTTCACTAATTGCGTATTTCCACAAATTGCATATTTGCCTATCCAAATGCCCTCAGGAAGACAATTCTCAGCTTCTGAAATTATATTCCCATAGATGTAACAATTCTCAGCCCAAGAAAGCATAGTAAATACAAATGAGTAAAAGTGATATTAGAGGGATAGCCCTACATTCACTCTAATCTATACAAGTAAATAATTTGCAAACTTTATATTATTACCCACAGTTGAGAATCATTGATATACAGAGGTTGGTTGCAGGAACAATCTGGCTTGCGGACCAATTTTAATTAGTCCACACAATATTTTTAAAATAAGAAAATTTCACACAAAATTCTGGATTTCTAGCTTCTCTTAAAATATCAGAAGATCTGTCAACTCTAGTCCTTTTTTTCCTGCATGTAGTTGGGTAAAGCTGAGTAGCTATTCCTTATAGAAAAGCATATATGCTCCACTTAAGCTCACTTTCCAGCAGTCCGTACTGTATGACATTCAGTTCACTTCCACTCATTTGTTTCACTATCTGGCCCCCTAGGCATTGAGTTAGAAACTTCCAGCCTGGATCATATTTCTTTGTAGAACATTGTAGAGATTTCAAAACTTAGCATCCATCCTTTCTCAAGGAGGTAAAAACAAGAAGCGTTCAAGACAAATAGCTTAGAGATTTTTAAAAATCTCTAAGGAATGAAATTGTGTATGAAACTACATACATATATACAAACTCTCAAGTACTTATTTTATATGTATGTATAGATATATATGTGTGTGTAAATATATTTATACAGATATACACACACACACACACACACATGAGTACTCAATTATAGTACAGTAATTGAATACATTGGGCCATCACAGTACAGTGGAAAGTGATGAACTGGAAGTTGGAAGACTTGGGTTCTAGTCACATCTACAACTATCTAGCTGGCTGGGTGATTTCAGCAAAGTCTTAATTTCTTTGAAATTTATTTCATTATCTGTAGAATGAGAAGTTTAGACTAGATCTCAGCAGTTTTTCTAACTCTAAAATTCACTGATTCTAGATTCTCCATTAAGAGAAGCAGACAAGGAACACACAGATGCATATAATTCAAGTTTATAAAGGATTAAAAAAAAACCTTACCTCATCATTTGTTAACTTAAGAAATAAATCTCCAAGGACTCCTTGGCGCGGCCACTTCAGGACCCTTTCCTGCAGAGCATGAAGCAGATCCAGGTGCTGCTGGACAAGGTACCGTAAAGAGCCGGGGAAGAGGCTTGAAACGGAATAGAGAGAGGATCACACAAACCAGGTGGAGAGAAGAAAAGGCCCTACAAGCATTATGTGCAGCAGGTGCCATTTTCCCAGTCACTGAAAATATTCTGAGTCACAGGTTTCCATTGAGGATTTTAAAAAAAGGTTTGTCATTGTAGACCTCATAGCAGATATCCTCAGACTATAAAAAGACCCCTTTACCGATGGCTCCTATACAAATGTGTATTGAACTAACAAAGAGCACATCACTTGAACAGATGTTGTCAACCCAAACTAGTATATTCATTTATGTGACACTCAGTGGAAATTCTAAAGGAAATCTTTATTTTTTTTTTTAAGATTGGCACCTGAGCTAACATCCATTGCCAATCTTTTTTTTTCTTCTTCTTCTTCTTCCAAAGTCCCCCAATTAGGCCAGCCCCATGGCCAAGTGGTTGGGTTTGTGCGCTCTGCTGCAGTAGCCCAGGGTTTCACCAGTTCAGATCCCGGGTGTGGACATGGCACCACTCATTGGGCCATGCTGAGGCAGCATCCCACATGCCACAACTAGAAAGACCCACAACTAGAATACACAACTATGTACTGGGGGGCTTTGGGGAGAAGAAGGAAAAAACTTTTTTTAAAAAAAAGCCCCCCCAATGCATAGTTGTATATTCTAGTTGTAGGTCCTTCTGGTTGTGCTATGTAGGACGCTGCCTCAGCATGGCCTGATGAAAGATGCCATGTCGGCGCCCAGGATCCGAACAGGCGAAACTCTGGGCCAGCGAAGCGGAGCACACGAACCCAACCACGTGGCCACAGGCCAGCTCCACTTTTTGATGTTTTAAAGTTACTCTCTCTTGTGCACTATAGTCTGTCTATTCTAATTAGTATTATAGATAACAGCACTAAGGTAGCACTTGGTCATTCTCAGCTACTACATAGGAGACTGCTACTAAAGTAAGTAGGGAAATTTGTTTAAAGCTGACAACTAAAAGCTCAGGGGGTAGGAGTATGAAAGTGTTCCTTTTCTCCTCTCTTTTGAAAGCTTCTAAGAGTAATTCTGGGCAAGGACAGAGTCTTCCCTGGCGAGGCTACAGACTAGGCCTGGCCTGCTATTCCCTGGAGTTGCACAGAGCTCCCTTACTATTATCATATTCTGCTCCCCTATCTCTCAATGTGCCTCATTATTTCAGAAGAAGTGAAGGGAGGAAGAGAGAAGTCAGAGAAGGATGGGATGGAGAGGAGAGCTAGAAAGAGAATCATGGGGGAAGAAAAATGCGGACTGGATGTAGAAGGGTAGGGTGATCAGAGGTATATAGGAATGAGGAAGGAGGAAAGAGAAGGAATTGGAGTCTTGTTGGGCTACAGCAAGAATCTGAACTCTAACTTGATGACTTAGGGGAATTGAAAGTATTTTCCCTCATCTTTCAAGATCACAAGTTTAACAAAGATGAAAGTGATGACCTGCTTGTCATGGAGAGCCGAACTTATTTGGATATTTCCCCAGGATCTAATTAGAGTGCTTTGCCAACCCTGAACAAGCAGATCTTTGTCGAGAACAGTACCAAGGACACCAGTTTGAGAGGAGGTTTTTCCAAGTAAAGCAAAGACTCCCCTGGGGCTGCAGCTCAGAGAAGACACACAAACACCAGAATAGTGTGCACAGCCCCCTCTGAAAAGATATAAGGATTCCTTCCACTCCTATCTTCCGCCCCTCCATCTCCTATACCGTGAGTCTCCATGTATGTGAAGCCAGCTGATCTGTAAGCACAAGAGGAGAGGCCTCCTCATCAGAGCTCATGCGGCTAGTGCAGTGGGCTTGGAGATCTAAGTAATCCCTGTCCAGATCAGAGAGAATTCAGGCGGGTGGCTAGGACACAGTTTGACTGGGAAAAGACCATAAAACTGATGGAGAAAAGCACAGCTGATCAAGCTGAAAGAGTGAAACATTGCACCAGCAAAATATCTACAAGTGAAAGATTCTCCCCACCCAGAGGCTATTGATGACTTTGAGTAATATTCCTGGTGTGACACCGAAAGACGTTAGGGCACTATGGTGAGAGCTGACCTTGTGATGGGTTCTCCATATAGGTTATGTAATATGTCTTGGATTCTCTCTTCTCTTTTTCTTTCCTTTCCTCTTCTCTCCTTTCCCTTTCTTTTTTTTCTTTCAAGAAATCTGCCTTCTGCTACACTGTGCCAGTGTATATGCAGGGTTGGAGAGCTGATATCAACATCCTTCTGGACTGTCCACTGGGGTAATAGCTTGAGATTTCAGGGTGGGGTCAGAGAAGGCTAACGCTCCCATCAAGTATAGCGGAAGCACATAAGTTACAGGAAGAGCGATGACCTACAGTGGCTTCTATACCAAATATTGAAAACAGGCTTTAAAATCTTTATATTAATTTAATAAGGATATTATTTGAAATTTGGGAGGAGCGTGGAGGAGGTGAACCAGGAGATGGAGAGCAGAGGGAGAAAGAAGTCGAGAAGTATAGACACGCTTAACCTATTTCATTCTTTTGCCTGGAGCCAGACTCGACTCCCAGAAGAAACTTTTTGACAATGATGAAAGTATTAAGTGCTCAACTTCTTGTCTGTTTCGTACTGGGGGTGAAATTATGGCAACGCAAATAGTTTATTCTTTTTAAAGCCTTCAAAGTAATTTCAACTCCCACAATACAGTACTTAATGAGGGAAATAAACTAAAAGCAATGAAGGAAAATCCAGTTATAGTTTCAAATTAATAACTTAGCTCTTGCCAGTTCACTTTTAGGCCAAAGTAACTCCTGAGCTTCAGCAGCAGGATGTAACCAAATTTGATGGGCATCGATAATGAAACATGTGCCACCTGGTGGTGATCTGTAGCATACAGCTTACTGAGTTGGTGCATGTGGCGCCCAAGTTTAGTTTATAAATCTAACTGGCAATCCTGTCAAGCTGACTTTGTTCCTCCCCACAGGCGTTCAGACAGGGCTGTTTGATCCTGAGGTTGTGGCTCTATCTGGGTGAATCAGACAGAAAAAGCCAAGAACTCCAACTTCTGTGATATTCCAACAAATGAGCAACAGCCCACAAGATCCACTCAGGCTTCAGCTGGCAGCCTGTGCCCCGCAGCTTCCAGCTCTTTCAGCCAGAGGCAGGGCTGACTAGAAAAGGGCAGAGGAGGCTCTTGAGCACTTCGCTTTTTTCTAGGGAAAACCCGAAGTTTTATCTTATAGGTTTGAGAAGATATGACAACCTCAGGTTTGAGGGTCAGGTTGTAGCCATGGTAGATGTTATTTTCACCCCCAGGTGACTTCTCAACAGGAGAAAAAAGTGCTGAAGGCTTGTGGTTTGTAACGGGAAAGGTAGTACATGTTAATAAATTTATTTTAATCTTTGCATGGGGAAAAATATCCACAGGGAAAAGGAGTAGTCTCATTGCATTCTGTATTTCATTCCACTGGTCTATTTAACGTACACATAGAGGCTTCAGAAAAGCTTAGCAAAAAGAAGTATGGTGAGTGAAGAAGGATAATGAAAATCTAACCCAAGGGTGGAAAGATGGCAACAGCGCAAAGCTCAGAACCAGAAACCTCAGAGTAGTACTAAGAGTATTGAGTTGAAGGTTTTCTCTTCTTGTTCTATGAGAAGAAAAGAGGTTAGCTTTGTAATAACTTAAATGAGTAGCATTATCATGGATATGAGAAATAACTGTTATCTTACTTTCATTGAGGATTATGTGGCAGTTTTGATTTTTTTTAACCTCAAGATGTGGGGGAAAGTTCCACTCCTTCCTCAGTAATGCATCATAAGAGAACATCTTAGAGAACCAGGAAGTGACAGCAGGTAGAAAAGAGCTTCAGTGAGCTAAGAACCTATCCAGTATCCCTACTTGATAAATCAGCTGGGAGCTGAAGTAAGAGCTTATAGGCTGTTAAGAGGAAGCCTGAGTGTTGAAATAGGGAGAGACAGAAAGGCTGCTTCTGTTTATCTGAGAAACTGGACATATTACTGTTAGTCAGGGTGGTTTCTTTGAAACCGTGAGGTACTCAGAGAAGCAGTGTGATGTTGAAAGAGCACAAGGTACAGGGCCAGCCAGGCCTGGGTTTGAATTCTGGCACTAATTGGCTGTGAGGCTTTAAACTCTGGACCTTCGTTTCTTCATCTATAGGGTAGGACTCACAGGGTTCTTGTGAAGATTTCGTGAAGTTATAAATGAGGTACCTAGCACAAGACCTGGTTCCTGCGATCCACAGTAAACAATCCCCTCTTTCTCTCTCATTGCCTGGTCCCTAAATTTTCACAGACTAGAGAGGGATGCTGCTGGCTTAGAATCTTAGATGCGGAGCAAAGCCGCACCGAAAGGTAGACTCGGCTTTAGACTTGATAATGTAAACTGAGCAGGTGTTTGGCAACAGCAAGATAGCTAGAGGCCATAGAGACTTCTCAGAGGGCTGAAGGGGCAATCTGGGAGGGTGGGACAAGCTGGATTGGGGTCTAGAAGGGGGAAGGAATTAAGTGGTCAGATGGAGAAGGAAGGACCAATGAGACTCTGGGTGGCCACTGAGAGAAAGTGAAGCCCAGTCCAGAGCCACTATTGCTCACATCTTTAGCTGTGCTGTATTACCCTTTCTGTTTGTTGTTACTTTCTATTTTGTTTACCTCAGTTTTGCAGTAAAATAATTCTTGAAAATAGTCAAGCCGCTTGTGGGTTTGTCAGAGAATACTTTCTCACTTCAGTCATTCAGATAGGTGAGCATTGTGCTTTGGTAACGTGGTATATTCTGACAGCTGCAAAGCCAAGTAAAACTGGGGGGATAATAAGGAGCAGGAAAATACAGTTAGGGGCCTCCCTAGGTAGAGTCACAATTTGTGAACCACCAGTGTATATTACCTGAGAGAATATTTAAAGTAATAATGCTACATTTGTCCATAATAGTCCATAATCCAGACTTTCCATTGTTTGGATTGGCTTTTTCCTCAATTAATCTGGATTATTACATCTTCATTACATTAGTCTTTTCCACCGAATCATTGTTTCCTCCTTCCTGCTTTCTCCCAACAGAGAGGGAAGCAGAGAAAATCTAAATATTATGAACGGATATAGATGGAGGAGGCTTGTCACCTGTCACTCATGCTAGCAGGAGGCTAGCATGCTGTTACACTACACTGCAGACCTTTGGAAGCATTGCCCCACGACGCAGGTATACACACACACACAACACCACAGACTCATGCGTTATCCAGCACGATGGGATCACCTGAACGCATCATAAGAAAGGTCCAAGTTCAGAGTTACATCAGCCCTGTGTCATTTATCTAATGGCCACTTAGTGCTTCAGACCTCCACTGCATCCGTTCCCTTGTACCTCCAGGACACCCGTTATCCCCAGAGGACATGCGGATGGCAATAGAGAGCAGTGCCTTCTCTCCATAGCATTTATTCTCCTTTTAGGTTCTTAATAGACACGCCAGAGACACTGAAGGCCCAGGAGACTATACTCATTTTCTTATCTGCTGAAAATCTAAACTTGAGACTTGCCAGGGGTTACCTGCTGTCACTTCCTATTCTCTTTTCAAAAACTATTTCTGGAACTCTTCACAGGTCCCAGAATTCCCAAAGTGGAAACAAACAACTTACCTTAAGTTTTAATCAATCTGAAAAGCAAAGGCAATGAACACATGGATACCTTCTCTCTTTTGAATTCCTCTTTCCGTCTGACCCCTGGAATGTTGCCTTGATCTTCAGGATCAGAGAGATGTTAATGACGTATTTTCTTTCTGATTCAAGCAGTTCTAGAGCCACAGTCTGTCTTTTTGCTTTAAAAATAAACCAAAAGAGGGAATTTTTGTTAACCCCTCCTTCTCAAAACCCTCCTAAATGATAGAAAGCAATAAAAAGATGTGGAAAGCAATAAAAGAGACAGCAAGTTTTTGGAAGATGGAAAACAGGATGGAGGCATGGTAAATAATTCAGCAGAGTACAGGACACAAAACCTTGGTGTTCTCATCTGCTGAGATGCAGAAAGGCTCAAGGATTGGAGGCACCACAGAAAGTGTAAGTAAGGGGCAATGCTGAAAACAGGAGACATAGTCTACATAAAGTGCAATCGAATTTCCAGTTCCCCACTCCAATGCCAGATGGCTTCCTCATTTGCACCCCATGGGAAATGAGACAAATTAAACTAGAGAAGCCCTGCTCTCTGGGACCTGGGTGAAAGACAGCAGACATAGCAGAGTCAGAATTGAGATGCTAAAATGAAAATAAAAGGATTCAGAGAAGGCTTGCATACTCAACACAGAGATTCCCCTCAGCCCCTTTCCCTGCAGGTCCCAGAATGCCAGCAGCCACACTTATACTCTCTAGGCAAGAGACTGGAGGATCTTCCACTGGAGAAGCTGAACTGCCCAAGGGAAAAAGGCTAGAGACACTGACTCAAAGAGGTCACCTATCCAAAAGTTAATTTGCAGGCTGATTGGCCCATAATGAAGCCTACATATCGATAAGTTTGGCCAATACAGACTTTTCAGGTTTGTTTTTATTTAGGGCCTCTCTCTTAGATATAAGTAATTAGCTAAGGATCCTCAGACATTCGAATCAAGCTTACACTGTAAAAGAAAGAGAAGAAAAAAGCGTATACACGTATATTTTTTGAAATGGGGAGGGGGAACCCTGAATAAACAGACACTGCAGGAACAAAAGAAAATTTTTTTTAAATCTTATAATTTATATCCTCAAAATGATATGAGAAAAATATTCTAGCATTTAATAATTATAAGATGCTAATTTTTTAAAAAAACAAAATCCAAAAAAAGAAGAAGAAACTTTTTGGTATTTTTAAAAGATAAAAGGGTAGAAGATAAAGTCCAGGAAATCTCTTGCCTCCCTCTCTCCCCTCCCCAAAAAGAAAGAGATGTATTGAAGAAAAATAGAAGAGAATAAGATGGCAGTAGAGGAAATCAATCCAGGAAATCTGACATCAAATTAGCAGTAGTTTCAGAAAAAGGAAAGAAAATGGATGAGAAGATATTATCAAATTAATAATAGACAAAAAATACCAGGACACGTATTTCCAGAGGAAAAGGCCCATTGTGTTCTGCATAAATAATGAAAAAGAGGCACATCATCGTAAGGTACACTAGATTACTGTGAAACTTTAGCACACTGAAGATAAAGAGAAGATCCTAAAAGTTACCAGGGAGAAAAATCAGGTAACTTAGAAAGGACTGGAGATCAGAATGGTATTGGACTTTCCAATAACCACATTAGAAGTTAGAAGACAATGGAATAATTGTTTCAAAATGATGATGGAAAATGATTTTCTATTCAATTATCAACATTTGTGCAAGTATGCAGAAGCTGCTGGATGATGGTTTCCATCAAAACAAGGAGTAGCTGAGGAAGGACACACAAGATTTAAAAACACACACACAGAGGAATCTAACATAAGAGAAATATGAAGGGAATTTCTAGGAAGCCTGGGAAGTCCTTGGACGGTAGCAGTGCAATGGGCCAGAATGGAGTAGGGTGACAGAGGTCTCTAGGACAAATGCTTTAAAAATAAAAAGAATGTAAATGATAGATTTTCTGTGAATTGCTAAGAAAATTTGAAAATATCTCTGTAAATGGAAACGTATACCATGTTCTTCAATTGGAGGACTCAGTACTCTCAAGATGTCAATTCTCTGCCAATTGGAATAAAAGAATATAGACTCTAGAGTTAGACCCACCCATATATGATCACTGGACCGTCCCTATGCAATTCAACGTGGAAAGGAAAGTCTTTTCAGTAAACAGTGCTGAGGCAACTGGACAGCTATATGGGGGAAAAAAATGAACCTGAACTCCTTCCTCACACGACACATCAAAATTTATCCGTTATTAAGTCATAGACCTAACTGTGAAAGCTAAAATCTTTACAACCTTTGGATAGCAAAGATTTCTTGGAAGGACACACAAATCAAAATTGAACTTCATCAAAACTAAAAAGCTCTGTTCATCAGGAGACTATTAAGAAAGTGAAAAAGCAAGCCAAAAACTGGAGTAAAATATTCTGTTTTTGTTAAGGAAGATTAGCCCTGAGCTAACATCTGCTGCCAATCCTCCTCTTTCTGCGGAGGAAGACTGGCCCTGAGCTAACATCCATGCCCGTCTTCCTCTACTTTATATGTGGGACGCCTACCACAGCATGGCTAGCCAAGCAGTGCCATGTCCGCACCCAGGATCTGGGCCGGTGAACCCCAGGCCACCGAAGTGGAATGTGGGCACTTAACCGCTGCACTACTAGGCCAGCCCCTGGAGTAAAATATTCTTAATACATGTGTCTGACAAAGAACTCATATTCAAAACATATTAAGAAATCCTGCTAACAGACAATAAAAAGATAAACAACCCAATTTAAAAGTTGGACAAAGGACTTTTAGGAGCTTCATAAAAGAAGATATATGTATCCCATAAGCATATGAAAAGATGCTCAACATCATTAGTCATCAGGGAAGTGCAAATTAAAACTACAATATGATACCCGTACGCTACGAGAAAGGCTCAAATTACAGACTGACCATGCTAAATACGGGGAAGGGTGTGAAGCAACCGGAACTCTCAGACGTCGCTGGTGAGAATATAAAATGTTCCAACCACTTTTGTAAGCTGCTTGATGTTTTCTTTTAAAATTAAACGTAATCCTATCTTATAACCTAAAGATTCTACTCCTAGGTATACTCCCAAGAGAAATGAGGGCATACATCCTAAAGAAGATTAGTACAAGAACATTCGTAGCAGTTTTATTCATAATAGCTCTAAACTGGAAACAATCCAAATGTCCATCAACAGGAGAATGGGTAAAGAAATTGTGGTAAATTTATTCAACGTGACTAATAAAAAGGAAAGAACCACTGAATGAATTACACATAACACATTACATTGGGAGAAAGAAGCCAGACACAAAAGACTACACACTGTATTATTCCATTTACATCCAGTTCAAGAGCAGACAAAACTAATTTATGGTGACAGAAGTCAGAATAGTGGTTCTGTGGGTGGGTATTGACTGGAAAATTGCATGACAGAACATTCTAGGGTAATAGAAATATCATATATCACGGTCTGGGTAGTGGTCAAAAGAGGGTTTACATATATAGAAAGTCAATGAGCTTAAACTAAGGCTTTGTGAATTTTAGTCTATATAAATTAACCGTCAATAAAGTACTGATTAAAAAAAAGCAGGATAAACTTTTTTAAAACATGGGAGCAAGTACGAGAAGAAACTGTTGAAAGAATTTAAAGTGGTGGCTGCTGTTCTTTGTAACAAACCTTTTTGTTTATTTTCATGTATTTGATAATAAAAAATAATTTTAAAAAATTACCTCCCACAGAAAAAGGAACTCTCATACACTGCTGGTGGGAATGCAAACCAGTGCAGCCACTATAGAAAACAGTATGGAGATTTCTCAAAAAATTAAAAATAGAACTACCTTATAACCCAGCCATCCCAGTACCGAGTATCTATCCAAAGAACTTGAAATCAGCAATTCCAAAAGTCCCATGCACCTCTATGTTCGTTGCAGCATTATTTACAATAGCCAAGACGTGGAAGCAACCTAAATGCCCGTTAACCGATGATTGGATAAAGAAGATATGGTATATATATATATACACAACGGAATACAACTCAGCCATAAAAAAAGATAAAATCATCCCATTCACAACAATATGGATGGACCTTGAAGGTATTATGTTAAGCGAAATAAGCCAGATAGAGAAAGACGAACTCTGTATGACTCCACTCATAGGTGGAAGTTAAACACAGAGACAAAGAGAACTAATTGGTGGTTACCAGGGGAAAGAGGGGGTGGGGGGAGGGCACAAAGGGGGGAGTGGTGCCCCTACAACATGACTAACGATAGTGTACAACTGAAATTTCACAAGGTTGTAAAAAAAAAAACCAAAAAACAGAACAAAACAAAAAAAATTACCGCCCACAAAATAGTTGGAGGGAAATACCATTGTTTGACATGTAGTAAGTGTTCAGTAAGGACTGATGATTTGAAGGAAAGGAAGGAGGGAAGAAAGGATGGAGGAAGGGAGAACAGACCCTGTCACAGTGTTGGACATTTTGGTGGTAGACACAAGATTCATATATTGAAAATTCCGCATCATTGAATAAGTGGCTCACAAAATTCTGCCCTCTTCTCCACCAACCTTATGCCTTTTTTTCCCCAAAGCACTACATTACTAAGTGTCATGGATACCCAGAACCAAGGTGGTAGTCCCAGCTGGCCATGTGACCTCAAGTGGGGCCCTTCACCTCTATAGGCTTTAGTTTGTTCATCTGAAGAGGAAACCAGAGACAAGGTGGTCTTGTATGTCCACTGAATCTAAATTGCAAGGATTCTAGCCCTTAGGTTTCCTGCTCTTTAAAATTTCAGCCTCCATTCCCCCTTGGAACTTACCAGCTAGAGAGGTTTCACATAATACATTTTCCAAGGAGCTGTGTCTGCCCTGGCTAGTTTCCTTGAGTTTATCTGGGTGGTCTTTTGTGACGTATTCCTCACCCCATTCTTTACCATCCTTAAGTTGCCTCCACACACCAGATGGGAGATGGCCCTTGGATTGGATATCAGCTGAGAGGCAAGACTTAAGGTTTTCTTCTGCTTCTGGAGTTGTTGGGTTCATTCCTGAAAAATAATACCTGCCATCACGATCTGACTTAAAAAAAGAATTGTATTTGTTACTAACTCTTAAATATTATACCCCTGTTTGGTGGCAACTATCTCTTGAGAATTAAATATATCAATTAAGGATTAAAAGTCTTCACAGTGACAAAGGATTGCCTTTCTCTGTTTCTGGTCTATACATCCTCTACTCTTTGTATGTAGTTTCTACTAAATAAGGAATTAAAAAAATAAATTTATAAAATAATATAATTAGCTTATAGTACTATCTATTGGCTCCTCATATTTGCTTCCTTTCAGGTGCTTCCTTTCACACTACGAAAGAAAATACAGAAAGAGGAGGAAGAACAGTGCTAAAGATGATGTTGTCTTTTGAAATTTGTCCTCCTCGGCCCTGATGATGGTAAGTTGCAGAAAGGAAGGAGAAAGGGAGAGAGGGGAGATGAAATAATTTATAAAATTCTGGTGAATTGTCTATTAAGTAAATTATTTTATTTATTTATTTTGAGGAACAGTGGCCCTGAGCTAACTACTGCCAGTCCTCCTCTTTTTTGCTGAGGAAGACTGGCCCTGAGCTAACATCCATGCCCATCTTCCTCTACTTTATACGTGGGACGCCTACCACAGCATGGCATGCCAAGTGGTGCCATGTCCGCACCCAGGATCTGAACCAGCAAACGCCGGGCAGCTGAGAAGCGGAATGTGCGAACAGAACCACTGCGCCACTGGGCCAGCCCCATAAGTAAATAATTTTAAATTAAATTAACTATAAAATATGTGATCCACAGAAAATTTAAGTCATGCTACATATACCTGTGAGTTCTCAGCAAAAGTTAATTCACTGGTAATTGAAATGAGCCAGAAAGAACCAAGAAAACTGGTTTTGTCTTAACCTTCCCCACCCCTTCTCTCTCCTTGGGTTTAACTGAGTCATTGACTTACTCCAGCACACGTCTTGGAATCTTAGAAACCATAATGCTTTATCTTGCCCGTGTTCTTTCATGCCTGGTTGGGGACTAAGGGAGCAGGAGCAAGGAAGGTAGAAGAAGGGAAAGGGTGGAATTACTAGAAGAAAAGAGAACTCAAGGAGCCACTTACCGGGACCCATCATTCCCTTCACATTACTATCTCCTACATGCATGGATCGGGACTCTTGGGCTGCAAAGAAAGGAAAGTTTTCAATCAGTATCCATTCCACTAACATGGACTAGCATGTTCTATTCAGGCACTGGGGACAGACTCACAGAGTTTACAGTATACTGGGGAAGACAGCAGTAAAAAAAGCAAAATTACAATATAGTATGGCAAGCACTATTTTCCCATTTGCAAAAAGACGTAATAAGTGGTACCTACCTCATAGACTACCATGAGAATTAAATCAGTTAATATTTGCAAACTGCATGCAGTAAGAGCTAAATTATTGTTTAACTACGATGGTGAGGATGGTAATGATGAGAAGAGCCAAAATGATGTTAAAATGTGAGTCAGACCCTGTCACTCCTCTGCTTATCTCTCCAATGGCTTCGCATTTCTTTGTAAAAGCTGAAGAACTTATAATGATCATAAGGTCCTAAAATGTCTGCCCCCCTCCTCTGCCTGCTGCTTCTTTTCTTCTTTTAAAACTCCATCTCCTATTTTTCCCCTTGTTCGCTCTGTTTTAGCCTCACTGGTCCTCTTGCTATTCTTTAAACATGTCAATTACGTTCCCACCAGGACCTCGGCACGGGCTGTTTCCTTTCTTCCCCTCTGTATCCATAAGCTAACTTTCTCACCTCCTTTAGGTCTTTACCTGGCACCCTCTCTAAAATCAGACCTGCATTTCCTTATTTTTCTCCTTATCACTGTCTACCATGCCACATATTTTATCTATCTTGTTCATTGTCTGCTTCCTTCAGAACAAAGGCTCCATGAAGACAGGGCTATTTGTTGTTTTGTTCATAACTATATCCCACCCCTTAAATCAGTGCCTGGGGTGGATGGATGGATGGATGGGTAGGTGAACGGAGAGATAGAAGGAAGGATGAATGGGTAGCAGAATGGCCAATGCCTTGACTGCAACCTCACAAGAGAGCTTGAGCTGAGGCACCCAGCTAAGCTGTGCACAGATTCCTGACTCAGAGAATCTGTGACATAATGAATGTTTGCTATTTTAAGCCAATAAATTTTGGGGCAATAGATAACAATTGTATCATTTTATAATTAACTGTAAGTAAGCCAACCCTTTCTGAAAGTTTGGTCCTTTGACTCTGAGTTTTAACATAACCTACCAGCAATCGTATCCAGAATGTCATATTACGGAACATTATTCCCAAATTTCTGCAGCAACTCGGTAGAATAAACTATGTTATATAAACCATGCCTATATAAGAGGGAGGAAAGGAGTTAAATCCATCTGGGCACTTTGCAAATATAAAGTATGGTCTTTTATTTTGTGAACACATTCAGCTGCCCCAGATCTGGCATTGATCTGACCTCTAATTTGCAAGCCCATCCTGTATTCTTCCCTATCAAAATCCTCCTTTTATGTTATGCTCTCCATGACATGGAGCAAAGAAAATAGAGCCACCTGTGATGAACCCATTCCCCACATGGATGAAGTGAGTTTTCCCAGGCTGCACTGATCGGTATGTAAAATAACTACTCAAATGGGTAAAAAACTAAAAATAAAAAAGCAAATCTAAACTTTGAAGTTAATACTGATTAAAAGCCATTTGACTTAATTTTTAAATTCAGTTATTCAAAACACATTTATTGTCTATGAGTATATGAGTGAGCTCCACTCACTTAAGCGATAAGGGTGGGAAAGCACCAGTCCTGCCCTTGAGGAGCTTACAATTGGTTGAGAAGGCATTGAGCTTCTTTTGGAGACTTTCTACATGTGACCAAAAAAAAAGGAGAAGAAGAAAATTCATCTAAATGATGTTAATATCTTCATTCATGCTCCTGTGTATAAGGTGCTTTGCTTGAGATTGCTGAGGATACAAAGACGTAGCAAACATGTGACCGAACATGGTTACAGACATCCCTTGGAAAGCCAGTTTCTTCAGTACTGCCTGCAAACAATTTTCTAGTATCTGTTCTGTCATCCCTCAGATCAGGGACGTGGTGGTGACTATTTCAGCCCACAGACAGCACCAGCTCTGGTCTTCCAGGGAAGGAGGACAGAGTTAGACGACACTGACATCACTGCCTGCCAGTTAGAGCAGATATGATTTTCTCATATGAGTGAAACCTTTGCTGAAAAAAAGGCAGAACACACAATTTTGTGTCTATGCAGAGAGACAAGGATTGAGAAGTAATGTGGAAAATAAAACGATTTATTAGAGTGAATAATTTTTTTAACATTTTTCTTCTATGGTTGGTATAGTATTATTGTGCAATAAATTATTTCTACTCCATTTGAAATTTAGAATACTCAGATTAGCATTTTCCCAATAGAGAAAATCTTTTAAAATTTGGAAGACTCTCCTACTCTCTCAGATCCTCTGGATTCTTCTAAATTGCAGATACAAGAGGAAAAATCTGAGCAATACTCCATCTTCCTCTAATGAGGATGGAGGACGTAAACCCATTCTTACTATTCTTAAGAATTTAGGAATCAAGGGGGAAAATGCATGGCTAATTCAGTATGCTTTGTCAACTGTACCTTTTTCATAGGCCTGAGAAGGCAAGAGGTTGGTAAAGTCTTCACTGGGAAGAACAGGCTCAGGGATATTGATCGAACGGAAAGGACTGCCTTGTGCTTGTGGAGGCCCAGCCGGTGAGGTGTGTTCTTCTTTTTGAGTTTTCCTGTGGAAGAGAAACAAAGACCCTTAATACCTGATGGGTTAAGAATAGAGTCAGTTCAGAGTAACTCAAGAAAATTTCTAAATTATTAGGTTGAACCATACAAAATTTCTTTTTTTGTAAATTAAAAATGGTTAAACACTAACAATTCATATGGTTCATCTTAATTCATTACCAAAGCTGGAGAAAAAATTTCAAATACCTATAAATCACCTTTTAATTGTAATATCCACATTCTTATTTTTCTGTTACTGACTTCCCTATCATCAGAGTTGTTACAGAGTTTGCAGTGGGGACAATTTGCTTGAGATGATTGACATTCGCTTAACAAAGCAACACAAAGGTACCCGGAAGCAGCAGGTCTTCCACTGAAAACAATAAGCCACTCTCCAGGGTCACATAATATTAAAAATGTACAACAATAAAGATTATATATGTTTAGTGATGAAACTTTACTTGATTCAACCTGGTTGACATATTGTTTAACATAAATTTATTTTCAATAGTAGAAGTAAAATAGTAGCATTAGAGAAATTTTGGAAAATTAATTAAAAAGAAAATCACTGGCGACTTCAGTATCTTACAACAACCATTTTCAACTATATCTTTCTAGATGTATTTTACATGTTTTTACAGTTGAAGTCAAATTCTACATGCCACTGCATATCATTTTCATTTAACTTCCTATTGTATTAAGTGCATTTTCTGTAACAGTTTCTATCTATTTTTAGTATTAACCAACTTTAATGGCTCTGTAACGTCCATCCCATGCTGGCCCAGTGGCTAGGTAGCACTATGCCGACAGCAGAGAAGATGTTCCCTGTGCCTCCATAAAAGCCATTGCTTATGGGTTTGCCTTTGGTAAATTTTTTGTAAGACACTTACTTGGCTTTCACTTTTCGAGATTCTCTTCGCTTTTCCTGCTGAAGTTGTTCAATTTTCTGTTGCATTTCTTCTTGTTTGGAAGTGATGGCCTGGATCATTGACATGGCATTGCTCAGCTCTTCCTAGGAAAGAAGAATCGATATGTATTTAATCTGGTATATGGTATAAAAGAACATAACGTAATATCTAGTACATAGTAAGCTTTTAATACGTATTTGTGGAATGAATGAGAGATGAAAATTTTACTTCTATTGTGCCCTCTGATTTTAACACAGAGATACAAGAAAAAAAAACATGACATAGATGTTTTTCCATGATAATTAGTGAATGAGCCAAAGAGAAAATTCTGATATTTGGCTGTTATGCAAAATGCGAAGTTTTCTACTTCTGATATTAAAGCCAAGAATCTCTCTTCAGCAGGGACACAAAAGAGGAGCCTACCTTGAAATAGTTTAATGAATTCTTCATCTCGGTAACTTTTTCTTCCATGGAACATCTGCAGCTCTTAACCTTCTCTTCCAAAGCATATTCTCCATGTTGAATTCTTGACAGTTCTTGCATTGCTTCCGTGAAACCAGTTTTGAGTTCAGAGGCTAGGGCCTGCAACTAAACAGTACACGAAGAGTGAATTCAACTTGCTATAAATTATTATAAGTAGTACCATTGACCCCATGGTTTTTTCTGTTGTTTGAGAAATCAGGCTCTTGAAAATCTACAGACCTCATTTACTGGTAGACTAAAGTTTGGACAACTTAAAACAACCTTGGCCCATTCATCTAGGGAAAAGAGGGTCCTTTTTATACAGCACATGCTAAAGCTTGATAGTGACAAGAAATCAAGCAAGTAATTAAGTTTACAAGTATTCCTGCAAGCTGCTATTTATTCTAACACCTTTGATTAAAATGAGATTTTTAAAAACCTTGAAAAGCAACATATGCATGTGAAAGACAATCTTGATTGGGTAACTCTTCAAATTCCGTGAAAGAAGGGATGGATCATATTATCCCTACTTGTTAGGAGAAGACGAAGAAATTCAGTTCTTTTTTTCCTTAAAAAAATTAAATGATAAAAGAGTAATAACTAAGCTTTTCTGAGAATTTCTTTGAAAGGGAAGAATTTATTTTTATGTATATGCTTAAACGATGTCATGGAAAAAGAGAGAATGACATTTTCAGTGGCAGTGGGCTTTAATCCATAAGGAGGGCACAGAAATATCTACAATGGTAGGAGCTCAGCACTGTTGTTCACAGGGATACGAATTGTCTTCAGCAGTCAAGCCTGATCATGTAGGAATGCACACATTGGACTTCTCTTGTCACCTTCCACACCATGAAAAGGGTGTCAATTTTGGAGTCAGATAAGGTACAAAGGTACAAATTCTAGCTCTCTCCTACAAGTACCAAGACCTTTGGCAAGTTTTTTAACCTCTTTGCAGCAGTTTCCTCATCCATAAAATAGCTATAGTAACATCTATTTCACAGGGCTGCTTGACAATTAAATTAATAAATGTAGGTAAAGTGTCTGCCGCCGTGCATGCTTGGTGTTCGAGAAATTTTAATTCTCCTCCTTTAAGTTGCAAATCAAAAAGTTAAGCACAAAGGGCTGATCCGGTAGCATAGTGGTTAAGTTTGCACACTCCACTTTGGCAGCCTGGGGTTTGCGGGTTTGGATCCCAGGTGCAGACCTATGCACAGCTCTTCAAGCCGTGCTGTGGTGACATCCCACATAAAAAAAACTAGAAGAAGATTGCCACAGATGTTAGCTCAGGGACAATCTTCCTCAAGCAAAAAAGAGGAAGATTGGCAACAGATGTTAGCTCAGAGCCAGTCTTCCTCAGCAAAAGAAAAAAAGAAAAGAAAGAAAGAAAAAAGTTAAGCACAGACAGAAATGTGGAGAAAATGGAGCACTTCTAAAGTTCAGTTTTATTTATTGAACAAATGTAAAAAGTATTTTCAACAGACAGAAAGTTTAGATAATAATAACAATAAGATAACAATAACATTACTTTCTTGACACGATCTTATGCTCTGCTAAGTAGAGGAACTCTTAGCTACAGATCTCTCTTTAAAACAGAACTTTTTAGTAGGTTCATTCTATAATTAAAAGTATCCCCCAAGTATTCTTATCTTAAAGGGATGGAAATTAAAATCCAGGTGCCTTAAAATTCCATCAAATGTATATTTCTTAAACATTCCGTCAAATGTATATTTTTGGAATCTGCTCGTCCAAATGGTTCCAACTTGCAATGGCACCTCCCACTATAAAATGACTTAGTCTCCTATACCATATTTTTTAAAATATAGGGTTTTGTGGTCCACTGTGCTTCACAAAGTTTTCTTTCGAGGGAGAAATAAGACAAACCGAAGAGATCATTCTGAGGAAAAAAGCAAGATGTCAAGTGTTTGGGGCTGGAAGACTGGGAAACAACATGAACAATGTTTTTCATTCCAATCATTTTTTATTTTAATTAATCTCTGCAATGGATTTCAGCACGTGTCCTAATTCAGTCAATCACGGTGGATTAACTCACTAAATCAACTACTTTTGATCTGGTAATTCTCATTATATAAATTCATCTTCTGTGAGCAAAATAAACAAAATCAACGGCTATGTAATATCAAAGCAAAATTTATGCAAGTTTTAAAATTGAAGGAAGGAAATCTGACATTCATTCAGGTGCTCCAAAATTCGCTCAGGTTTCCTGCTTGGAAAAAAAAGGGAACCACTATCCGACAGAAATAGGTTTCATTATCACTGCTTCCTGAGGTGAATGAGTGGAGTTTTCCCCAGGGGCCAAAAGACAGCAGGAGGGTCCTAGGGAAAAGGACTCTTTCTTACCAGTAGAACCCCAACTCTCAAAAAATTAAGAACTATCAAAAATTTTCCCTAACAGCCAGGTTATATAGGGATGTTGGGAATTTTGAGGTATGAGCCCATCTCCTTCCCATATTTTACTTTGATCCCCTTGGGTACCTGCCACAGAAGTAACCCTACTGCTTTATAAACAGCTTCACAACCGCTGATCAGTCAAGGAGGAGATGCCAGGTGAGCACAATCACACACCTGAGACAACATCTCACCTTTAAGATGCTTAGGGCTCTTAATCTCTTTAGCTGCTACAGACTGGTTTTCCAGTACCAACTGGCCATTCTTTTGTGAATAAAAAATATTCTGAAGACATGGACTTAACATCTTTTTTCTGCTCTCTCTTCAGCTTTCTTATTTGGCAGCCCACAGCCCACCCCAAGGATTAGAAATGGGTTTCTACCTTGTTCTCCAGCGAGTTGAACACGTTCCTCATCTCGTTGATTTTTTCATGAAGCTGCTCTAGAGAGGTTATGATCCCTCCATCCTGCCGCTGGAGGCGGGCTCCCACTGGAGGCAGGTTCAGGGAAGACTTGTACTTCGAAGCCTAGGGTACCACAGAGGGCATCTTAGGCTCAAAGAAATAGGGGAGAGGAGTCTGAATTCTTCCTATTTCCTGGTCTTAATTTCTGTTTCTCAATTTTCTTTACTTTTCTGGCTTCTTAACTCTTCTTAAGATGAATTTGAGTCAATGTCTTCCAACTTTTTTTCCACCAAAGATCCCTCAAACTAAATATTCATAAATTATGCCAGTAGTTCCAATTTGTTTCTTACACAGACTTCTCCTTACTTTCTGTCCCATTATCAAGGTCAGAAGGCTACTCTGAGGCAAATGCAGGGGATTGAGCCTGTGCCTTGAGAACTCTGCAAAGTCATAAATGTCAAGATTTGAGAAACTTCCACGAGGTGTGTCAAATTCCTACAACACCTGACTAAAGGCTCTATAAGAGCAAAAACCCAGGTGTTTTGAAGTAGCACATGACGGCAAGGATGCCAAGGTAATTGCTCTGGTTTCCCCCTAAACCAGGGTTGCTACAGAAGAAATATGGTCTTTCTACAACTTCCATCTTCCTAATTTTAGGCCTCTTTATTAATCCCCAGAAAATGCCATGATTTAAAACACAAAGTGGGCAGGAGTTTATTTGAACTGTCAAGACTAAATTCCCCAAATCTACTCCTCTACACTCTCTGCAGAGGTTGACCCTTAACCTCCCTCTTACAGGGCATTATTGAAGCTGATATGAAGCCTGGTGTGTTGGGAATTTATCTTATCGATCCCCGGATGTAGCACAGGCCTAGTAGAGTTAACTTCTCTAGTGTTAGAAGACATTCCTCAACAGTAAAAAGAGACTGGGGCTCAAATAGGACACACAAATTCTAGAAAACTGTCAATGGCAGTTTTGATGATGAAACCTATTACTGTAGGACTGGTTCCCATAGTTTTCAATTAGAGATCCTTTCAGCACATACTCATTTTCTTAAATTATTTCCATTACAGAGAAAAAGAAAAAAGAGAATCCCCCCAAATCTCATTACTTTAATACAACCATTAATGTTTTGGCACATTTCTTTCTGTTTTGTTCTATGTATATAAATATAGATATTTATATGGTTGAAATCACACTACAGATATATTTTGATTCTGCTCCCCCCCTTTTTTTGCCTAACATTCTTATAAACCCCTTCCCATAGCCTTCAAAATTTTTCCCAAGTGTCTATTTTTAATGGCTACATAATATTCCATCCTATGGGTGTGCCAGAGTTTACCTACCCATTCACTCTTGTTGGAAATTTATGTTGTTTGTAATTTTTCAATATCATAAATAATGCTGACATATAATGCTTTTTTGAAAAGCTTTTCCTGTGTTTCAGATTATTTCCTTAGGATAAATTCCTAAATATGAAATTACTGTGAGTCAAAGGATGTTAGGTAGTATTTGAGCCAAAGGGAAATCTACTATGTTGGAGGAAGACAATATATTCAATTAATTAATAAGTATACAAAATATATTTGACCAGAGGGCTTGAAAAGTTATAATAATATAGTTGAATATTCTTGGAAACACACTGTATGATGTGTAATGTTCTAAATTAGTGTATGTAGAAAAACATGTCTTGGACATGATATATGAAACATTAGTAATATAAATGGAAGAAGCTGCAGTGTTTACATTCCTAAGGCTATAAGTGAGCCAAAAACACAGTTGGAGTTCAAATCATTAGTGTGAGGATTGAGCTAAGACTAAATTGTGCAGTTACATCTGTTGCCTTAATTGTGGGTCCCTCTCCCCAACTTCTCATGTTAATGGAATCATAATTTAAAAATCCGTATGCAAAATGAAATAATCAATGGTGAAGGAGCACAATCTGGCTCTGGAAAAGAGATTGGGATAGACTTTGTGAGGGCTATGTACAGTGGACAGAGGACGAGAGAAAAAGGGAATAGACCTGGGTTCAAACAAAAGGGAGGAAGTACACTGAACCAGTACACCCAAGGATCAGTCGGTGCATCCACACTGACTCACCTGTCCTGGCAGTCATGCTACCTGGAATGCACTCGGAGATGCGAGTGCTCATTCTCCTCTTGGCTTCTGTGCCCTGATTTGGGTCACTGTACCTTATTCTTACCAAGGAGGTAAAGGCCATCCAAAGAAAAGGAGCCAATGAGGAGTATGAATATTTTAACACTTTTACTGCATTTTAACAATGATTTTCCTAAAAGTTTCCACCAATTTACACACACTCATCAGAACTAAATATTATTAATTATTTTATTATTTGTTAATTAGGTAGTCAAAAAATACTGCTCCTTGTTTTAATCATCGTTTCCTTGAGCTTCAACCTGTTCTTCTGTTTATCAGCCATCTGTAATTTACTTTGGTAAATTGTCTGTGTTCTTTGCCCATATTCTACTGAGGTCTCAGAAGCTTCCTTTTTATTGATTTCCATGAACTATTTGTATATCATTAAGCCTTTGTAATATTTTTTGTAAGAATTTTCCAGATTTTGTTATATGCCTTTGAACTTGTTGAAAATATGTTTACATTGGGAAAATTTTAAATTGTGATGTGGATGAACCCTCTAACCCTTTCCTTAGTGATTTCTTCCAGTGCTTTTTTACTTAGAAAGATATTTCACATCCAGAGACAAAATAAATATTGACTTATTCTAAACTTTTATGGCTTGACTTTTTATATTTAACCTTTTAAACCCCTTTGGAGTTTATTAGAACCAGACAATTTTCCAAGCACCATTTGGCACCAGACTGAATGACTGCATCAGACCTCCTGGTTCAAAGCAATATATATGTCTTGCAGATATTCATTCACTCATTCATTCATTCAACTAATATTTATTGAATATGTATTATATTCCAGGCGCTGTAGTTTGTGCTGAGAATACAATAGAGAGAAAAATTGACTAAATCCCTGCCCTTGGAGCTTACATTCTAGAGAAAGAGACAGACAATCAAAAAACAAACAAATTAATATTTACTATAATGTCAGGTAGGGATGGGTATGTATCAAGAAAATAAAATAAGAAGATAGAGAATGGCTGAAATGTCATTTTGTTTCAGATTTCATATTCTGCTCTGCCTTTTTAGAATAGATTGTGCTCTGTTATAGTTAACCTCTCCCTGCTCCTCCCCTTCCTCTTCCTCTTCTTCTTTCTTTACTTCTGCTCCTTCGTCTTCTTTTGGTTAAATGTTGCTTGGAGCACACAGACTGGGACTTAGGAAGCTTTCTTTTAAAACAAGGATGGGGTTATAATCACAGCATCACAGAGGTCATATAGACCAACTTCACTTGCACTGCTTCATTTGTTCCACTGTGAACAGATGTACTTGGATTTGTGATACAGTAAGAGAATGAGGCCACCCCCACTGCAGCTATATTTAGCCAACATTCAGGGAGTGACCTACATAAAAATTTTAATAGACTTTAAATCGTACCTGAGTTTAAAGAGATACACTCATTCAAATGCCATACACAGGTCAGACGTGAACAGAGGGCGGTGGGCAGGGAAGACATCTGGAGGTCTTGGACAAGTGAGGCATCAAATCAGCCCTGAGTGAAGACTCACTCCTGCTTCTAGGACTTTGTTCAAGCTGGTCCCTCTGCTTGAAATACCCTTCCCCGTATACACTTACCAAATGAGCACCTTGTCCTTAAAAGCCTGGTTCAAATCCTGCAGCCAATATTAGTTCATCCCTCCCCCATATCCCATAGAATGTTATCAATGCCTTTGTTGGAATCCTTCCAACAGCCTAGCTTGTATGAGCTTTTTATTGTATGTGTTTTCTGCATTGTGGACACTTAAAAATCAATGAGAATGTCTGTTTCATCTCCCATTGGGCCAAGCAGTAGATTTTGCACATAGTAACTGCTCAATAAATATGCATTCAATTGAAATGAGGCTGTTTCCTTTATGCCCCTCCCATTGCTGGTGTGGGTCTAGGAGCAACATGATTAAAAACTATTTTCATAATCCTGTGCTGGCTTGCCCTAATTGGGCCCACAGCAATGATCACTTGCATGCTGTTTCTGGGAACTAGTTGTTATTTTTACTTTATTATCGCTTAAACTCAACAAACCTAAATAACATCTGTTACCCAAACTATCTGTGCTGGATTCTCATATCTCTATTTGGGAGGCCAGTTTTTTTTTCCTAGTTACCAGGGTTAAAAACCTTTAAGTTGGCTTTAAGCTAACTTTGAAATCACCATTTCTCCCAACCCACACCAAGCCCTCTCAATTCTTTCTTCCCTGTATATTCCAAATAATACTGCCTTAACTCTAGAGAGGAGCTTGGCGGGGATTAGGTTACCCTAGCCCAAGCTGCTTTTACATACAAATTATGTCAGAATAAACTTGCATGATTTTTAAGGACAGAATTTCCTTTAAACTTACAGTTGAAAGGTAGAAGTCAAATAAATACTATTTAGAGAACCAAAGCAGGCTGATGTGATCCTCGTTGCAAACATATTACATAATGTTTTGCAGACTACTTATAAATTAAATTAGTCCTATTGTTTTAAAGGAATTTAAAAACTTTTTCATCCACCATATTTGAACATTTGCATTGGAAACGCCCTTTCAATTCTCAATTCTTTCTGCTAAAATAGGAAACGAAGAAAAACAGATCTTGCTCTCTCCGTCTCTCTGATGAAAATGTTATTGCGTGATGTAAGGGCCATGGCGATGGTGGCAACAGGCAAGAAAAGTGGAGCTGATGTAGGCATGGTGGTGCTGTATTTTATAAACTGGATAAGTTGTGCTTCAATAATCAGTTTTCTCAAAAGTACAATGTGAATGGTGCTCTCTGCCCTGCCTATCTCACAGTCTTGTTAAGTGAACAAATGCAATGATATATGTGGAAACATTTGCGAGTGCTAAAAAAAATTACACATAAAGGACACTCATCACTATTACATATAGGATCATTCAAAACAATCTGTTTGTCTTTACCTGGTAAATCTGTGTGGAAGGATTATTCATCGGAATATGTTCATTCTCTCCTGTAGGGAGAAAAAGCTCTCTTCAATTAACACAGCTCATTCTGTCCCTATCCTCTTCAGACACATGCAGGGAATAGGGGGACATATAGGATCCTAAATCTGTGCCTGCACGACAAGAGACCAATGATTCGACAAGAACAAAACACAAACTTGTGTAGGTGATTTTATATTCACGTCCTAATGAGCAAACCATATCTACCTAATATAACTCTTGTAGTAAAAATCACGTTCTACCGTGGTGGGGAAGTTTCTCAACCACACTGAATGATTAATGATCATGAATTAGCCAGATGGGAATGCCCATGAGGGGTCTCCCTCGTGTTCTTGGGGCTGACTGAAGTTTACCTGCGGGGGTAGGTCTAGAGTCAGGAAGGCTGCTCACCAGGCACCTGTCAGTCCTCACTCTATTGTTCTCAGGAGGCCTGCAGAAAATACGCCTTACTTCTCCTGCCTCTGATCATTGCCAAACTTCTGAACTCTGCCTGCCCATCACTGCCCAGATCAGCTAAGGGAATCTCACTGTCCTCCTGAGCTAGAGGGTTGATAGAAGGGAATTGTCAATGGAAAGTTTCTGAGAAGGATGCAGGCAGAAAGAAAACAGTATTGTCAACACTAGAGACTTTGAAACATATGGCAAACACAAAGGAAGTAGTCTGTTATAAAAATCATTTACAACCCAGCGAGAAAAATGTTTGGCCTAGAATCTACCTTTCATAACCACCTTGTTTGGCCATGAAGATGAGGAAATCCACATAGAACATGCAGCTCGTTGCTAACCCATTTAGCTACATCTCTATTATGTCACATTATGTGAATCAAGGAGTTTATGGATGAAAGCCCTGGTTGCAAAGATTTGGTTGTGTGGATGTATATATTGTTCTCCTAAGACATGCTGGTATAGGAAACCCTTCCTTAGAGGACCCAGCCTCAGTAAGTTCACAAATAACACATAACCTCAGCCCAGAACATATACACATCGAGGGCTGCCTTATAAAGTCCAAATGGTTTGAGATTACCAAAACTCCCCATATAAGCCTGAGTAAAGATTATGTAGCCCATTTTATGCTATGTCCCAACAGCATGGTAATCACGGCAAGAACCTGAACTTGGGAACAGAGACCAGGATTCCCAGATTGAACTTGGACACTTTGTGGTTGTAGCCTGACTTCTCTATGACTGTTTTCTCTTCCGTAAATTGGAAACGATAACAGAACCCACTTCTGTGTTGTTGATTCTATATGGTAAAGATTAAAAGATACAGCACTTATGTTTCTAGGCTAGCCTAGAAGGTATTGGAGGTCTATCGGTTGAATCTCTATCTGGGCCTTATTCAGCAGGTTGTTCTGAGGCAGTCCTAAAGTTACTGCTAAGAAAAATAAAATAACTACTCTAACCAAATTCAATATATAGCATTTCCTGTTTCTCCAGCACCAAGTCTATGTTCTACATGGTTATTATATGATGATAAGCAAATGAGAATAGTCAAGTTAACATATTATCATGTTTTGAGACAATGGCAAGACAAGACTAAAACCTACATTTCTTGAATCCTGAGCCCTGAAGAAAGACATAGGAAAAATCTAACCTTGTTTTGTCTTGGTTTTTTCCATGGTGCCTGTTTCTTCTCTCCTCCGCCTTATTCTTCAGGATTGCATCTTCATTGTCCCCAGTCAGGCCATCCCCTCTTCCCTGGACCTGTCAATCGAAATGAAGAGTAAGTGATAGCGGGTAGAACTGACAAAGTAACTGGACTTCCTTTATGTGTTAACTTAAAACAATTGGGATGAACACAGCTATTAGAGGCAACTTAGGTTTATGCAATTTCAGAAGAGTGAAAAGATTGAGTAAATATTTAGCTTAAAAAATAAACCAATATTTTGTGAATAAGTATGAAATTCACTAGTTAAAATTATGGTAGTTTTGACAATTAATTTAGACCCATTGATTTTATTAGCAGGCTATAGTTTAGAGAAATTATATTAAGAAGAAAAAACTTGAGTAAGTATGAAGGCCAACACATCTGTTTCTATTCTATTTCATTAAAAACACATTTCTTGATGACCTCGTCCCCACTTTCAGCATCTGGTAGACTCCTTTACACCCAGGAGATACTTATCAAATGTGGCCTGGCTGGAGTGAACGTTAGACACGAAGCTGCAAGTTCAGAATGCAATCTAACAAACAAACAAACACCGTCAGTTTGTGGGCCTTGGCACTCTTTTTCGTCATCTAGAATTTTAATCTTTTCCAATGATTGGGGGATTCCCTCACCTTAGGAGGCTTGATCAGATGCCACCTGCTATAGAGGCTGAAAACGCCAGGTTCTCCTAGCTTCCCTTGAAGCTAAGACATAACGGACGCATGACCAAGGATAGGCCACTCAGATGCACCCACTCCAATAGACACTAGCAGTTGCAGAAGGATTGCTAAGACACGTATACTTGATATACTTTCTACTTTCTAAAAAATAGAAAGAGTTCCTAAGACAGCAGTGGCAGCAAAAGTAGCGGTGGTGACCATGATCTGGTGCAGACAGTTTAGGTAACTAAGCCGCTGCTTTGGGTGCTTTCCTCACCAGAACAGCTGTACTATATGATTTGGGGCATTGTTTGCAGGCTGCATTATCCCAAACTTGATTCACCAGTCTCCCAGCAATTCTATGAGCTGTATTCTTTGAACAAGTTTCTTTGCTGCTTAAATCAGTCAAAGTAGTTTTCTGTTGCTTGCAACTAGGTAACCTGATTGAAACAATCAAAATAGTATATTAATACTACCCAAGACTGAGAAAACACAAGTTAAAACTTTGTTCATTGCTCTAGACAAGACATATCTAATCTATAGTGACAAAATGCGGATCAGTAGTTACCTAGGGTAGGAGGTGGAGACTTATCTGGGAAAAGGCGCTGGGAACTTTTTAGGATGATAGAAATGTTCTATTGCTTAATCGTGGTAGTGGTTATCCAGATGCATAAATTTGTCAAAATTCATCAAAGTATATATCTTAATTGGGTGCATTTTATCCTATATAAATTATCCCTCAAGAAAGTAGAATTAAAACTTTTCATTCACATTTTGAAGTCTGTAAAGCAAAATAACAAGTTGGCGGGGTGGGAGGGTACACAGGGATGAAAAAGCATTGGTCAACAGCTACGTGGTTATAAATGAAGGCTATAAAGGTCAAGGCCACATGCTATTTGGAATCTTGCCCATTTTTCATATGAGCATGAAAGTTATGTCAAGGTAGGGCATCTTCCCTAGCTATCTGAATGTCTTTCAAAGCTGATATAAGCATTGCTAAGATGAAAACTTTCTTCTCCTTCAAGTTATTAATTTATTTGATATCTAATGCATTCCATAATGAACATAATTAAATCACGTAATGTTAGAGCCAAAAGGCCCTGAGAAGATTATTTCATCCAACTCCATCATTTATAGGTGAAGCCACTGAAGGCTGCAGATGGGAAGAGAAGTGACCTGCCCAGAGCCACATAGCTTTGAAAATTATCGTTAGAAGTGATTTCTGTTACTATTTGGGGGAAAAATCTTGAAATATGTAAAGCTATATTTTTAAGAGATTTTTATGGATAAGTAATTCTTGGGGATTCAGTTATCTTATCTACAACTAACTAAAAAACAAACCCAAAAAACCCTCCATATATCATAGTTAAAATGTAAATTTACACATTTTCAGAGCTAGGACATCATCAAGGTCACATATGTACATATGGTCACTGATTTCAAGACATTAAAAAAGATGTGTGGTTAATAGAAAGTAAATTGAAAATTTTATTTCTTTTTCTGTCTTTTTTTTTTTTTTTTTTTTTGGTGAGGAAGATTGGCTTGAGCTAACATCTGTTGCCAACCTTCCTCTTTTTGCTTGAGGAAGATTGTTGCTGAGCCAACATCTGTGGTAATCTTCTTCCATTTTGTATGTAGAATGCCAAAACAGCATGGCTTGATGAGTGGTGTGTAAGTCTGTGCCCAGGATCTGAACCTGCAAACCCCAGGCCGCCGAAGAGGAGTACACAAACTTAATCCACTACACCACTGGGCCAGCCACTTTATTTTGTTTCTTCAATTATAAAAACAACAAGACTACATTTAAGACAATTCGGAAAATATAGAGAAAAAATAACTATAATGCCTCTGCTTAAACAGCCATCATGATTTGGTTGTGTTGTCTGCCAATCTTTTTTCTCTTGGATGTTTTATATGATTGTTCATGGAGCCTACCTATAATTTTGTATCTACTTTTTTACCTATATTGTAGCATAAGCATTTTACGCTTTTTTTTTTTAATGGATCCTTACCATTCCAGTTGTTTTTATTGTGGCCATTTGAGCAGAGGGCATGAGTGTTCCTCCCCAGTCCCAACCGATGTTAACAATCTGCTGGCATTCCTCCACTCCTTTCTCCATCCTCACATAATCACATACGAACACATGTACAGAGTGTACATATATGGAGCGGGGCTGTCATTGTCGGTTCGTACTATACCTCTCTGCATCTTATCTTTCTCACTTAATAATACATCGTGGCAATCTTTCCAAGTTAATTTGATTCCAGGTAAAGATTGGTTATAGATCCAACAAATTAATTTTTAATGACTGCATAATATCTATGGTTTTGATGACCTGTGTTAATCATTCCTTTATCAATGGGCATTCTCTTTATGCCCATTATTTTGTCACTGCAAACAGTGCCATAACAAACATCTTGGTACACAGAGACTTACATATTGGTGCTTTTACTCATGTGGGGGTCTAATAGATATGATTAGGCTGCTTTCCCAAAAGGCTATAATTATTCTCACTTACCCAGGAATATTGCATGAGTATCTTTTGTCCTGCATCCCAGCCAGTAGTGGATATTTACACTTTTTAGTTCTTGCCAGTCGGATGGGTGACAAGTGTTATTTCATAGTTAGTCTTCCTGATTGCTGGTACTATTGAGCATCTCTACATATACTTACTGGACATTTAGATTTGTTCTTCTGTGAATTATCTATTCCTCTGCTTTGTGTATTTTTCTATTGGGTCATCTGCCTTTTCCTTATCTGTTAGAGCTTTTGTTAAATAGATATTAGATCTTTATTTGTCATACGAATTATGAATATTTTTCCCATCTATCTTTTTGTCTTTTGACTTTGTGGTCACTTTTGCTACTGAAACACTTAAAAATTTATTTAGTCAGATATTTTCCCTTAATTGCTTCTAGGTTTCTTGAGTTGGTTTAAGATCTCTGCAGTCCCAAATTTTTATATATATGTTTTCCTAAATTTTCTTCTAGGGTTTTTATTATTATTAAGTGTTTAATTCATCTGGAATTTGTTTTTATATATGGGGTGAGGGGGTGTTCAATTTCCTTATCTTCAACATGGATAGTCACTTGTACCTGCACCAGTTATTACTTAAATCATCCTTTTCCCTCATGAAATTGAAATATCATTTTTGTCACATATCAAACTCCCATATACACTGAGATCTATCGTGGGCTCTCTATTCCATTCTGATCTTTCTATCTATTTCCACTCCAAAATCACAAATTATCAATGTTCTTCCATGTTTTAAAAATATTTGGTAAGGCAAGTCAACCTTTTTTTAATATAGTTTCTTTTCCTGACACTTATTTTTCCATATGAATAAATGAACTCCAAGATTAATTTTCACATTCCAAAAAAAAAAAAATGGGATTCTCATTGGAATTGAGTAGGATTTATATATTAATTTGGAAGAACTGGCATTTTTCTTACACTGAATTTTGTCATCCAAGAGCAGCATAGTTCTTTCCATTTGTCTGGATATGGTTTTAGGCCTTTCAATCAGATTTTATAGTTTTTTTCTTAAAGGTCCTATGCTTTTCTTGTGAAATTTGTTCTTAAATATTTCATAATTTTTATTGCTATTGTGAATGCCATTTTTCCCATTTTGGTTTTGGTATTCTTTATTTTTTGTACATTTATTTTATATTCAGCCACTTTAACTGAATTACTTTATTAATTATGGAAGATTTTTTTAAATGAGTATTTCTTAGTTTTCTGGGTGACTTTTAATCCTTATTTTTAAATACTTACACTAGTTATTTCATTGTCCTAACTTATTGTATTTGCTGGAGCTTCCAGGATAATGTTTATTAATAATGGTGACAGTGGACATCATCCATTTTCTGATTTTAATGTAAATGGCTTTAAAGTCATTTAGAACGATATTTGCTGTCTTTGGTAAGTAATCTATATCATACTTAAGTAATTTCTTTTTAGTCTTATTTTATTAAACTTTCTTATCAGGAATGGATGTTGGATTTTATTAGAACTTTCAGCAGCTATTGATAGAATTGCTTTCATCTCCTTTAATTCATTGTTGTAATGAATTATGCTGACCCCTTGATGTTGAGTCATCCTTACATTCCTGGAATATCTGCTTGGTCACAGGACACAGTTCTTTTGATACGCTGCTGGATTTTATTTGTTAATATTTAGACATTTTGCATCTATATTCATGAGTGATTTTGATCTGTGGAAGGTTTATTGTTTTTTATTCTTTTCTGGGCGTTAAGTTTATGCTAGCTTCTTAAAATGAATTACAGTTTTCAATCTCTTTCTAAAATCTAGAAAAATTTCAATTAAATTGAAATTATCTGTTTTTTAAAAGATAGTAGAGTATAGCTATAAAACCATTTGGCCCTAGTGCCTTTTT